ATTTACCTTTATAATTATATTAATATCCTTCTATAGATCTGCAGTTTAGGCATCCTTAGCATTTATAGTTAAGGTTTTGTAAATAATAGTTATTATAGTTATAATTCTCTTTTTAAATATCTACTTATTTTCCCTTATATTTATAAGTAATATTAATAAATCTACAGTATTTGTAGATTAATTCTATATTAAAATCTAAATCTTTATTATTAAATGGCTTATAAAAGGTTAAAGTATTAATTTTAACTTCCTTTTAAAATTTTACTTTTTTTAGCTTCTTTAGGTAATAACTTAATCTATCTTTATTACTTTTATATATAAAGCATATATTATTATAACAGGCAGTCTAACTAAGGCTGTTGTAAGGTAGTTTAGTAATAGTATTTATTTAAGCTTTATTAGCCTTATTATTTTATTCAGGGCTCTTTCTATTTCCTTCTTACTTCTTTTTAAAGTAATAATATACTTCCTTATAGCCTAGTTTACTATAAAAATAATATTTTCCTTTAAACTTAGTTATTTTAATAGTATTAAGGTTTATTTATTCTAGTTAAGTTTTATTATCTTTTATAATATATTCTTTTTATTTTTTACTTTAATTTATATAATATTAAAATTTCTGCTAAAAGGTTAATTAATAACTATATTTTTTTAATTTACATTTTTAGCTTCTTTTAAAATTATAATTATTAATATTAATAGCCTTTTAAGTATATTTAATAAATTTAATCTTACTCTAGTTTTCTTTAAATAACTTATCTTTAACTTTAAACTTAATATTATTATAATAAACTTCTTTTTTTATTTCTTTAGTTTAATTAACTTTAGTAAATAAACATAAAAAGGTAATAGTATACTTAAATAAGGCTTTTTTTTATTATAGGAACCTAAGTTCTCTTTCTGCTTTTTATTTTTTATTTATAGTTCTAAAGGATTTTTTTAATTAATTTTTAAAGGTTTTATAATTACTAAAGATTTTATTTATTTAAATCTTTATTTTAATGGGTTCTTCCTTTATAACATTATAGTCTATTAAAATAGGCCTAAACCATTTAGCAGCAGTTCCTATAAAGCAGTTAGCTGCAAAAAAGACTTAATTTTCATTATCTCCTAGGTTAATTAAAAAATAGCTAAAATAAATATTTAATTTAATAAAGAATTTATTTATCTTTAAAATATCTCTATTAAAGTTATTAAGTTATTTAAGCCTAATAATTTCTTTTTTTTCCTTTTTCTTATTCTTTAATTACTTTTCTAGTTTTTTAATTTATATAAAGAGCAGATTAATTACTGCCTGCTCTACAGTAAGCAGTAGATGTTATTTATAAGTTTCTTTATCTATAGAAATAGTTCCTTACTAACCATTGCCTGCTATATTTTCATTATTGCCTGTAGGTCTAGTAACCGTCTAAACAAGAGTTATTAATATATAACAACCTAGTTACTAAGGTCCTATAAGAGTTAATAGCTCAGAAGATTTCTAAAAGATAAACCTAGTCTTATAGTTTATATTAGCAAATAAGTTAGAAGATCTATAGGCAATAGTAATAATATAATATTACCAGTAAGTAAGCTTTAGAAAGGTATTTTAATTTTAATTCTATATTAATAACTGGCTATTTAAGTTATTTAAATAAGCATAGTAAAGTAAACTTATATATTCAGTTATATAAGCTGGATTTATAGTGTCTTATAAGACTTATTAATAAGTTCCATTAAGTTAACTCACTAATTTAATAGTTAAGTTAATAAGTCTCTTTTAATTGGTCCGTCGTTCCGACGTTAATCCAGTTTGGCCTACCCTGTAGGCCCATTGTTGCGACTATAAGAGTCAGGTCGTAACAAAGGGTAGAAACTTATCTGGGTAAATATTGTGACTAATCTCCGTCAAAAAAAATAAGCAAGCAAAATATCGAGTTCAGGTACGACAGCGGAGGCGCCCATTACCTTGGTTGTGTATCGAGTAACTGTATATTTTACAAGTACAGGAAGATAAATTTCTACAGTGGGTAGCACTTAGCAGCACTGCGGAGTACTGACTTCTAGCTACAAGTAGTTATGTCAGCATAAGCTGCATGTTGCTGTCTGGCTGCTGTGCGCTCGTATAATTTGTAGACTAAGTAGACGTCTCTAAATATGTGTGAAGACACGCCAGATATTGTGCAGGTCGTGAACTTCAAACCTGGCTATACGGCACTTTCTGGCCTTATCCACTATAATATAGCACTTATCTGCTGTATTATAACAGTTAGTAGCTAGGGTTAGTGGTTAGGGTTCGTAATTCAGTACCCTTAGGGGTAATGGTTAAGATTTATGGGATATATAAAAGGTTATAGGGGGCTAGTTATAGAGGGTTATATGGGGTTAATAAGTTTATACTGCAAGGTATGTACTTTAAAAAGTGACTCTATTTGTGATTAATTGGTTGAAAAGGAGTGTTGTGCGGATAGCAAGACTCAAGAAGTACTATCTGCGACCACCTCCAATTACCCCACAACAACTAGGAGTGCTATGAATAACATGATTACTTGGATTTCTCCATCGATAGCAATCACCAGAGAAAAAAAAAACACAATACTTTACAAGCTTGAAACTTCAATTTGAAATTACATGTATATATTAAGCACGTAATTGGACACGATGAGAGTATATTAAGCCTGGATTTGATCTTCGAGTATTGCATCCCACCTGGCCTCTGGGCAAGTTTTAAACTTGTTGCATCTTCATTGTGTTCCAAGTTTCGAGTATTATGGGAAATGACAGAAACTGGTCTCACAACGTCAACCAAATATATGCCCATTTATATCTACTACCCATTGCAGAAACATTAATGCAACTGAAATGGCTGAAGTTGACGCTGAGGAGAACAAAATGATTGATATCACCTTATCCAATGGGTTTGATCAACACAGTTGAGTCATCAGTAATTTACCTGGCCTCAGTCAAAACCGTTGACCACATGGAAGTTAGTGACCCAAACACTACAGGAAAGTCGTTTTACATGGCTACATATTTAATTGATCTTTCCATCTTTGTACGCACGCTATGCAGCTGAAGGTAGTTATCGATAGTACGGATACATCTGCGCATGCGAGTAAGACACTGAAACGATGCTTGGAGCAGGCTCACTGTATAGCCGCTAAGGAAGACAGAACGGTAGCTTCCAAGCGGCCCTTCCCGCCCTCTAGCCTGCCATACCCCACACTCAAAGACCAGGTCTGTGCCGTCCAGCGTGAGACTGACTGTCAAATCTTTGATCCCGAACTACCAAGGTATCACGGAGATTGGCTATTAAAGCTCGTGGCAGCTGGGAAATTTTATAGCTATGGAAGATAAGTCCTTTGCCACGGCGCTTGGTAGACTATGGTGCTGATACCAACCCCATGTTGTGCTTCAGCCTGGGCTTCCGCGAAGTCTCATTTGGCTTTCAGTCGCTTATCCCAGGCGGCTTATTCGACTGCTGCCGCGGTAATTATTATGTTTCACAGCCTGTAAATGGCAGCACCTAATGTTCCCGTCGTAGCTCAGATAATATTTGATTGGTTTGCCTAGAAACGGTAACTTAGCCATTCACGATTTGGCCACTGTTAGTACCTTGTAGTATTTTGATGTCGATTTTGACGCTTGACTTGTACGTAAAGCTTCATAGATATATTTTGATTCTATGTGAGGTATAAATGGTCGCACTTAATAACACGATGAAATATACATTATTCTTGAAGCGCTATTATGGCCGGATCTGTTGTCAGGTGGTGAACTGATACTCTAGTACTGAGACAAGACTAGCTGAGTGAATCATAGCAGTGATAAAAAGATTCAAATTAAGGTTCCTTGAAGTAGTTCAAAAGAATACATTCGTTTAAACCCTTGTCTTAACACATATCTCATATAGTTACATGGTGCCGTCGACTTTCCCATGATCATCAGAGTTGCCGACAATCATAAATAGCGCAAGTTATTTGTCCTCAAACTGGAGAACCGCTAGCGTACTTCGCGATGGTTCGGTCCACCCACCCACGTGAGAGACGCTTGTTCATACTCTTCCAACCGAAATAATTTCGTTACACATTTATATAGTAGATATGATATGGAAATCAAGGCTATCCTTTGCGCATGCAACACAGCTGTGGTAAGAGATCGTGATCACTGAAATCAGCGAGCTGCGGTGTACAGCATTTACGCTGCCAATCACTGGTAGCGCCGTGATCGGCAAGACGCAAGGCAAATTTCTGGATGAACTGCGCCACAATAATTCAAAGATACGCCTTGCCCTATCCTCTTGAAGTTAAATGTTATTATTTCTTTTTCGACAAGTACATATATATGTAAGTGATCACCTGTTGCTGTTCAAAGAAGAAGCATTTATTTTGGAGAGCTTTAGTGCCGCTGCCATTATCATCTTGGAACAAGCCTCATCACCCCTTTGGAAGCAACATCACGCCATGAAAGATTCAAGTGGCAATGAGATTACCTACATCAATATATCTGGTGTAGATAATCAGCGCAAGGCTGCGTCGAACTTGTGTTCTGACTGTGATGCTATTCTCCAACGAGTCTTAGAGCTAGAAAATGGGGCAGAAAAAAGACCGATTCGAAAATTGGGTGGTGTTAGGTGGAAGCCAGCTGACCTGGACTATGATGCGCCTATCCATGAAGACGGTCAAAAATTCGAAGATTCGTCCGTTTTCCTTGAATTAGCAGAAGACAATTCCATGCCTCATAAATCAGATCGCGAAGAGCTTCGCGCATCATCTCAGCGGGGATGTATCATATGTACATGGCTTGTCCAGTCTCTGAGCTCAAGATCAAAGCGTACTAAGGGCAATATAATGGAGCAATGGTTGAAGCGTCCTGCGACAGTAGAGCGCTCCCCAATAAAGTCATTTGGTAGCAACCCTTGCTCTGAACATTATACTTTGGCCCTCAGATGCCCGGCACCGCCAGCGCCGTCTTTTGAAGACGTTCCTTTCGAGGGCGATTTACATGAAGCAAAGAATGCCAGAAACGGAATTACGACTCAGGTTTCAGTAAATAAGCCATGGCCGTATGATACACTTCGGGAGGATGAGCTTGCGACTCTTTTCATTGATTCGATGCCTTCGTCCTTCACAACCCAGAAGTTGCTGGAATCAGTAATCAACCTGGAGCAAGAGGCACCCTCGGTTGCTTCATTAAATATGTTTAGCCTATGGCTAGATATGTGTGACGACAATCATCCGGAATGCAAGATTCACACCGCCAGCAAGGCACATTATATTCCAGCGCGTCTCATTAACATTCGGTCCACTGATGCAGTGCGGGTGGTTGAAACAAGCTCCATTGCTGCGGAAATACGAGCTGCCTCGTTCAAATACGCCACCCTATCTCACTGCTGGGGCACTGTTCATGAGCCTCAATTGAATAAGGCCACAGAAAGTATTCTTAGGGGAGGAATTTCTGTGGATAAACTTCCTCGTCTGTACCATGACGCTATTATCCTTGCTCGTCATTTAAAAATTTATTATCTATGGATTGACTCTCTGTGTATATTGCAGGACTCTGTTGACGATTGGCGACATGAGTCGACAAAAATGGGAGATATATACGAGAACTCATACATTTGCATCGCAGCAACGCAGGCACCCGACAACAATAGCGGGCTACTAGAAAGGCAGAGCGCAGATTGGCCACGGCCATTAGTTCATGGAAACCTTGTTGTCTGTGCAGATGTTGAGGTGGGATCATCATTCTCCAATTCGTCACGACCTGGGTGGTGCAACAGGATTCTCGCACTTACAGAAGGGGTAGTAGATAATTCAGTACTGAATCGAAGAGCATGGGTTCTTCAAGAACGTATGCTTTCGCCGCGCATTCTGCATTGCACAGCTGGAGAGTTCGTCTGGGAATGTCGAAGGGGCATGAGATCTGAAAGTCATATTCTTTTAACGTCGGGTGGCAGCGTGACGAAAGAAGCGTGGAGTCAAATACACGAGGTTGCTCCAAACTTGAAGCGGCCTTCAGAATGGCATCTCCATTCCGAGCAAAGAAGGCAATATCTTGAATTGTGGAGCGAGATTATTGGACGTTTCTCTTCGTTCAATATAAGCTTTCCTCAGGATCGGCTACAAGCTTGTTCCGCTATAGCCAAGCGGCTGCAGCCGATATTAGGAGAGTACGCAGCAGGTTTATGGGAAAGGGTTATGCCAAGTCAACTGCTCTGGCACCATGCCTGCTTTCCTAGCTGCGAAAGAAAGAACAGCTTGAGGCAAAATAACAGCCCATCTTGGTCCTGGTCATCGCTGGACTGCAAGGCGGTACTAACACGTTACTGGGATGCTACATACAACATGTTCCCATCTATGGACAAAATGTCATATACGCCACTTGGTGACAGCAAAGCACTTACAATGGTTAAGATTTTGAAAACTGAGGTCAAGTTATCTGGAAACGATGCGACGGGAGCGGTCGAAGGAGGACGCATTGACCTTAGCGGGCTAGTATTGCCTCTATACAGAAGCTCAGCATTTCGATATACACTGACTCCAGAACCGGAACCAGAGGATCCAAATTTTAACTTGAGATTGCAATTTGATGATGGTGACCCCCATATTTTTGAGGAGGATACAGCCCTTCGGCGTCGTATAAGTCCGTCATTTTGTGCTTCAGAGCGAAATGGGAAGATTACTAACAACTTCCAGCCGAGGAGCTATCGGATCCACGATTTGGAAGGTTCATGCCCAGCTACGAAAATATGATACGCGGCCGTCAAAAATTGGTGGAACGCCACTCGCCAAAATTAACCAAAATGTGCTGGTTACCAATTATATCCACTTCCAAGCCATCTGTGAGGTCGATTCCGAAACAAAAGCATCCAGTGGCCACAACTATTCATGGCCTTATTATTGAGCACATAGAGGGTTCTACTGGGGTGTATCGACGAGTTGGGACTTTGACTTTTAATCTAGAAGTTCTTGAAGATAATACTGCGACCAGGCTCAACGCTGCGACTCCTTTAAGCGATACTTGGCCGTCACGACTGGGCTACAATGCCAATGAGGGATTTACAATAGCTATAATATGAGGTTACAAGACCATTTATTTTATGTTGGTCGGTCTACAAACCATATAATTCTATACTTAAAATACAATTTGATACGGTCTGTATCAATGCCGAAAATGTATAGTTATAGCCAGCCTATGTGCATACTTAATAGCTGATCCGTAGTATCAATATTATTAAAGACATTTTGTTGTTATCAAAGGTGCAATCTTGGGAAGAGGGCTTTGATCGTCGTCCTTCTGGGTTGTACAACCCCAAGCTACTCTTATTGGATAATTTTCAGCTAGACTAGCCTAAAGGCCAATTTGTTCATGATTGATAACATTGGCGCTCCCAAATATACCGTCGCCACTGAGAATGTTCTATTTGGGCTACAACAAAAAAGGCATTCTCGGACATGGACCTTACCAAATTCAATCAAACAAAAGAAAATAGGCATCCGAAATGCCAAGCAAGGGAGACTATACTGCTTAACGCTCAATCTCCAGGTAAATTTGCAATTATTTAGCGTCAGAGAGCCTCTCATTACAGGTAGATAGACGCCATCTCATCAATCATAACTGAGCGATTGGTAATTGTATTATGGCTTTCAAAGGCTTCTTATGCGGCGCAAAATTTGAAGTCTAGGTAGCGAGTTCTAACTGATGGATATTTAAATCTAAGCTACGTTAACAAGCTCAGCGCTAATCTCAGCGCTCTTATGGCGATGTTTAGGCTTATAAAGAACATATATTACGGAGTACTCCGTATATAATACTCAGTTACATAAGGTTAGCGGACGTATCGGAATTGCACAGTAACGAGGGGGTTAAAAGCGGGTCCAAAGACACAGGACACATGTACCAAGCGGCATGTACTAGTTATAGAGAGACTTGAGAGGCATCAATGTGGATCTGGAACGGGCCGTCTAGGGACGGCTTATTCGGCATTAAAGGCTAAAATAAGGGGGGAAAGTTGAGAAAAGACACAAAAAAAAAAAAAAAAAAAAAAAAAAAAAATAAGGGTAATATAGTAATATATTTAAACGAAGGAGTAATACAAGAACTACTGACGAGCAAAGATACTACAATCTGTAAATATATGAGATCTAGACTTTCCCGGGGCGTTTAGTTGTAGCTCTATGATATTACACCACCACACTGCCATTATCACGAAATGTCTCAAAGTGAACATGAAAGTTAATTGCTATTAATCTATTGCTAACTAAGCTAGCTGGCAAATCGAAAACAAATTTGTCATTTAGACGACTACAAACGAGGAATAAAGTAGCTACCGCCAAGGCAAATAAGCCTCGTATAAGTAGTATAAAACGTTCATGTTTCATTTAAATCGTATATGTACTAGCCATATCCAAAATCTTACTCTTGATATCAGCGAAGACACTAAGATCCCCCTTAATATTAAAATACTGGCCGAGAAAAAATCTTTGTTTGCAAGCAAGGAAACGGCTATTATTATGCTGCAAATAGTTAAGATATTCACATAAAAAAGGGGCAGACCATGTCGTATAAGTGCCAAGGTTATCTCAGAAAACATCAAGCTGACTTAAAAACATACACAAAGATCATTTTGTCTCGCAATTTTCCAATACGCAATGGCATATTCTACAAACACCCTCGCCTTTCCTAGCGACTATGGATGCAACGGCTCCCCCGCGATTATCTGCCCCTCTGCTGGATCTGCATCATTTAAAGATGTAGTTTCATATGCCCAGTTAGCGTTTATGACACAGGCTCTACAGGGTGATCTTGCTCGTATGGGCATTACAAAAGGCAGCAGAGTTGCGCTTGTATTGCCGAATGGATTAGAATTTGCTGCTATACTTCTTGGAATCATACACCAGCGTGGTATTGCGGCCCCACTAAATCCACAGTATACACAAAACGAGTTCAGGGATATCTTCTCCCAGATGAAACTCGATTTGGTGGTGATGCTACCTGGAGCGCGGGGTCCAGATGACAGCTCATATTTGACCGATCCAGCTTTCCAAGCAGCACAGCAGCTGGGAGTGCACGTGGCATTGTGCCACAAAAAGAGCACACTGAATGACAGAGATGAACAGACGTTGGAGCTTATTCTGCGGCCTCATGTAATGGCCAATAACAACAATACTCCTGTCACTGTTGATACCGGAGCGGCAATCTACTCAAGAAATGAGGTGCTGTCTGAAGACAAAGTTGTCATGCTCTTGACAAGCGGGACTACAGGTGCGCCTAAGATGGTCCTACTTAGTCACACCAATCTTCTCACCGCTATGCGCATTATTATTGCCAATCATCAGCTCTCGTCTAGTGATAGAACCATTATAATTACGCCGCTGCACCATATTATTGGTCTCTGTGGCACTTTACTTGCTACGCTATTCTCGGGAGGCTGCGCCGTCATTCCGGATTCGCTCCCGGGCGCCTTCTGGCAGCGATGTGCAGATTACGGCATCACATGGTTTCATGCTGTGCCAACTCTTCATCGATTGCTCCTAAACTTCCCGCGGCCTGGTGGTCGTGTCTCCTCACATCTGAGGTTTATCAGATGCGGCGGTAGCGAGCTTTCTCCAGACTTATACGAGCGCCTAGTCGCACTGGGCCCGCCTTTGCTCGAAGTTTATGGCATGACGGAGACGGCTCCCGCAATATTCTGCAACCATTGGAAAGAAGGCGGTATGAGACGCAGAAGCTATTTTCCCATTCCAGATGCCATAGATGTGATGATTTTGCCATCTAACGCATTGGGACAAGAGGGTAATGATGACGACGCTCCGATCGCTGCGATAACTAAAGCGCCTGGTATTATAGGCGAGGTTTGCGTGCTTGGCCAAAATGTAATGGAGGGGTATGTTGAAAACCCCCAAGCTAATACCAGGGCTTTTCTTCCCAATGGATACTTTCGCACCGGCGATCTCGGCGCTATTGAGTCTGGTGGTTACCTGAGGTTGGTGGGTAGAATTAAAGAGGTCATCAATAAAGGCGGAGAGAAAATTGGCCCCGCCGAGATTGAGCACGTAGCTTTGTCTCACGAGTTAGTTTCAGGGGCTGCGTGCTTTCGTATCGCTGACAACATGTACGGCGATGAGATTGGTGAGTATATATATTTATTGACGATTTCCGTTATCTGGTGCTGACAACTAAACTATTTTTCTTCCCAAAGGACTCGCCGTATCTCTGATACCGCATAAGACGGAGGATCCGCTCATTGTGTCGGAATTGAAACGTCATATAGCTCAATATTTAACACAATTCAAAGTTCCCAAAGAGGTGAAATTCCATCGAATCATATATTCATATGATATGTTAAATTGCAGAATTACAGCTGATTCATAGACGTTGTAGATTGTATTTGTTGACATCATTCCCTACAACCCAACCGGGAAGCCGATGAGAACTCAACTATCCCAACAGTTTGCGCAAGGGCTACTATGAATGTCATTCCACGAAAGAATAATTTATACGCTTTAGACAAACATGGAACAACATCTATAACATAAAATGTATGAGACAAGCATTTTTGCGGGATTAAAATAAATATCGGCGAGTGCCAATAATATAATTAATACTAAGCATTTAATTACCCCAATAGAAAACTAAGACTCCCCCCTGTGAAGGTAAAGATGCCTCTTCTATAAAGTTGAACGTGGCAATCAAGACCTTAAGGTACCTTATGAGGCTTAGATGTTTATATACAGTTATTGACCTCAAAGAACAACGCTACACTTCGATGTTGACGGAACATTAAGTGAGGATAATAGAAGCTGCAGTTTAAACAGCAGGCTTGAGAAAATACACCTGGAGGTTCTTTTAACGTGAAAAGTATTTAAATTAAGAATAGCAGTGTTGTGCCTTACTCTTGGCGTATCCACTCCTAATTTCGGGCTCTGAGAAATCCTAATATTAAGTATCTCTGTGATATTACTAATAGTCTCGTTTATGAGATTAGCAGTTTAGTACTAGGGCATACTACAAGTCTCATTTGTTGTTTTAGTCAGTTTGAAGATCTTTTGTACCAATGTCATATATATTAACTTGTGCTTGTGGCATCTACTCGGACGCTATAAACACGCCTAATTACTAGTGCTTAGACACTGTTGTAAGTAAAGTGGCAATAACGCCAATATACAAGGGTTTCTCAGGGATTCATCCTTCGCGGCTGATGTAAAACATATTTAATAAGCCCTTGTACATATATATACGGAGCCGACAAGGGCCATTGCGGAGACATCTTAATTATACTCGTATATATAGCAACAACTTCTGACAGCTAATATGTACATGGGGAAAGATTGAAAGCCCTGCTAGCGCTTTCAGCTGATCAGTTCATCTAAACTATATATCCATATCTGGAAGTTTATAATTATCCACCCCCCTGGTATAGCTGGTTAAACAATGATGGTTACATCTAACGCAATTGTTTCATATATAAGGTCTTTAGTAATCTGTCTTATGCAATACGAAGGCACCATCTGCAAGCCTCCTCTATACCGCTTGTACAGTATGGGTGGTTTATCCCGCTGGAATATGATATATCGTGCCTTGGCATCTCTAAGTTAATTACATATGATATTACTAGTACTTGTAAGATCGGTAATAACGTGCCGAGCATGTCTGATACAGACGCTAGTATCTTAATGTTGCGGCTGCTAGCATGCTACCACTCACCCCTTACTAAATCTCTATGATGCTTGCTTGCTAGATAAGCTTCTTTTGAAATGTTCTCCTGTTATATTATTGTCTATATCCCCTATTGCTATTGACATATAACCGAAGAAAGAATATACCTGAAGGTTGAAATACATTAGTCTTTGAGTGAGCTAATTCTCCAGTGCCAAAGATAGCAATTCATTGAACTTCACAAATTTAAAAGAGTGTAACAGCATCCAGATGGCATCCATCGAAATTTTACGACAGATATGGGCAGATGTGCTCGGCATTGAAACAGACAAATTTTTTGATAGCGACAATTTCATGGCATGTACGTAACACTACCTATATCAACCTAAAGCCTTCATGAAAGAACTAACAATCCTCTACTTAAAGTGGGAGGCAATTCAGTGAGTTGAGAGTTTCTCTCATAGAAGGTAGCAGCTGCTGATTTAGTTTAGATAAAAGCTATTCAATTTTTGGGCGAAATCGCGTCTTTTGTCGATACAATTGACTTGGCAACTTTTCTTAATAGTAAGCCAGTGATATATGAAAACAGCCTATTTCATTCGGAGAATACTAATTATAATATTGCCATGAATAAGATGCAACAATCAAAAATGTATGGGACACTATAAGTGCGTATCAGCAAAGCACATATTTTGGTACTGCGAAGGAAAATGCACATATCGAGTCGATCGAAACAATAGAAAGCGTCACCGCTGATAGTATGGTTGGAATAAGTTCAACAGAACTTACTTCAGCCCTAGAACGAGCTGGGATCGCAATAGACGGCATTATGCAAGCTGCGCCAGTGAGCTCTATTCAAGGTAATATGCTCGACATTTATTGATCCATTGAACGATATATGCGCCGAGTAGAATTTTCATGCCGCGTTGTTATTGAAACGGAGTCAAGAATAAATTTGCTAACATCTGTTCTCAAAGAGTTCTTTTTACATCATCAACAAAATGGCGGCACAGGGTGTATAAATTACATATATGAAGTTGAAGGACGCAACCTGAAACAAGGTTTGAAGCAATTTATACACCTTCTAGAAATGAAAAACCCAATTTTTCGCACAACTATTATCGGTATAGGCAAAAATAAGTTTGCCCTAGCTTTACTTAAGGAAACGGCGTCGCACTGGTCTTATCCTTCCAGCCTTCGATCGCTTCTTGAAATCACAACGGCACAGAAGCTTCAGCTAGGTGAACCAGCGGCCCGATATGCTCTTGTGCTTGAAGATGCAGCCAATGAAGGCCGCAGCTTTTTCGCAATCTCGTTATATCATACCCACTGCGATGCCTTCACGCGCTTCCTGATTGACAAAGAGATATCACAAATCCTGCAGTCTCCATCTGATTATGCACGAGCTGAGAATATCGAACGCCCGTGGTTTGGCGCTTTTGTCAAGCATCTGCGTCTCATTGCACCGCAGGAAGATGTCATGAAATTCTGGGAAAATTATTTACGCGGCGCAAACGTGGCCAATATCCATCCACTTGAACAAGCTGTGGTCAGCGGCAGCGTCGAGAATGTCTTAACAGACATGCTACCAGTACCCTTTACCCATCCTCAGTCCAATAGCGATGCACCAAGAAACCCAACACAAGTAATTCTGGCTGCCTGGGCAATGGCCCTAGCAAAGTTATCGGGACATCGAGACATCACGTTTGGCCTTTGTCGTCACGGGAGATCTTCTAATACATTTCCGGACGTGTGGCGTGTTATGGGGCCATTGGTTAATGCGGTACCATTTCGAATTTCTATACAAAGCAAGGAGGAACCTGTAACAGAGCTATTACAGCGAGTCCAAGACGATATCACGACCACAACCCAGTGGGAGCAAGGATTTGCTCCTGGTGTAGTCCCCAGCGCTGACGGGCGGCCTTGGGTTCAGTCATTTGTCAATTTGAGGTCTGAGTTGAACAAATCCAAGGATGTGTGCAACACAAATGAAAGCAACTCAGAAATAACCAAGATTGTCCCCAGGCCAGATCTAGATAATTTCAATACCGACTATCACTGGGCTGTTATATTGATGATCAAACGGCAGCGTAATCAGTACGAAGTTTCGATGCTGTATAACTCGTCACTCATTGATTATAAACGAGCAAACACTCTATTTACAGACTTTAAATTACTTATGGGTGCATTGGAAGCAGATGTTGAAATTAATGTAGGAGATTTACTAGAGTAGCCTCTAGAGGTAATCTAGTACCTTACCAATAATAGATTAACAGAATGTATGTTACGCGACATAAAACAGGTGGTCAAATCGAGGTATATTTAAATCAGTGTTTAATAGTAGAAGGATTTTATTTTATAGTGGAAAAATGCTATAAATTTATATATAGTCGAAAATGAGACGCAAAGACAAGCGTAACGAAAGGTTGCGGCTAGTCTCCGCTGCCCAAGTAATTCCAAGTCAATCTTTAGCATTCGAGGTAAAAATCCATCACGTCACATACTTCTGCAAAAACTTTACCTCGATATCCTTCTGTGATTGATTCGCAGTCCCAAACATGTAAGGTGCGAAATCAAATGGCTCTATCTTAAAAAAATTCTTTTGGTTCTTTCGCTGCCATGTATGCTTTTTCATGGGATGTCCCCACTAGGACGTACACATAACAGAGGGGTAGGCGACACTCTCGGTAAGTATGCTTGGAATTCGTTGATAAAATTGTAGTAGGCGCTTTCCAGTGTTACTTTGTTTTCCCAGTTACAATTTTTCCCGTCAGCGAGCATCTGAATAGAGCTGTAGAATCCGGAAAGCGCAGGTCCTCCGAGCAGTGCTTTTTGCGGGTTTGCAGCAGCTTCTTCACTAGGGGATGGAAATAACTGGACATATTGTTGTTTATCTATAGATTTTTTTAGAATATTGTGAAACTGTCTTTCTTGATCGTTCCAGTAATCCGGGCGGATAGAATTGCGCATCCATACCTCCGCCATGTCCACCGCCAACTAGTAGAATGTTAGCGTCTATGGATACATATGGAATTAATGGATATTGTGACCATAAGAATACCCTCTGCCACTTACGAAGAGCGATACGAGTTATGTCTATCTGCGGAGCTAAAGATGTGACATATGTAACAGCATCAAAAACGTCCTCTGACTGCTTGTCAAAGTTAATATTGTGCCTTGGCAGTCCATCACTTTGCCCGAATGTTCGAGGGTCGTAGGTTAGTGTAGCAAATCCAGCATCGTTGAAGACTTTTGCTTGGACATCCATTAAATGTGCGCTTATAACGCCAGACTGCTTAAATTCAGTGAAAACGAGCCTTATGGTTATTAAGGAATAGTAATACCGGAGATAGCAAGATCCCCAGCGGCGCGTTTGGCTTTTCCATTAGTGTCAGTGGTCCTCTCAAGATATGGTCATCTCGAGTTTGGAACTCAATGTTCTTAGTACTAGGCATGTTGCTGTTTTCCTATATACAGGGTTTGTGAACTTGGGATCCAGACCGTGGTAAGATTAACTCCAGAAGTATGACAATGAATATAAACCGATATTTTCGCGTATACCCTTTCAATCGTCGAGATATGTGCAGCTTCATTCTTTAACTGTTCTAGTTAGCTATGCAGGAGTATGTAGGTCTTGTTTAAGAAAGCTGTTTAGGCCAGATGTGTTTCCAAATCATTAATGCTAACGACGAGTGATTTCTAATAAATGTAAGGAGAGGGTGGGCGCTAATGTAGCTTTCTAAGGTCAAGTACTAATATATTTCCAAATACTCGTAAGCATTATACTTCCGTGTAGAAGCATTCAGTGTTTCATCCTCCGCAACACAGTAAGCAATGACTGTATTTACGTGATTACAGGGCCTAGATTATGAATCTTATTGCCACCTTTAGCTAAGGCACACTATGCAAAGGTTTAGTAAATAAATACGTATACATGATCCAGAAGAAAGCTGGCGCGGAGCATAACCTGATCCATACTAAGTGATATCATAATGTACAATAGTTGTTCATCCTAAGTGACGGGTGAAATAACATAAACAAAATAAGCATATTGGAACGAGCAAAGCCTCGTAGTACCCAAATTCTTATACGAGGCAAATCGTCTCTGGGTTGAGCAGACAGCAATTTCCTTTTACAGGAATAAGCCACAAATACACTGTAAAAGAGATGTTAATTTATTGCGCGCATTGTATTGGCCTGTCTATCCTACTATCTATTGTAAAGAGTGATTTATTACAAGCGATTTCGGATTTTGAAGTAGTACCTTACTCTTAGTGCTCGTCCCTCACCGAATCTCAACATTATTTGTCTACGGGTCTCGGCGCATCCTAAGATCGTTACCTACGTAATTCAAGTCTTCATAACCTATTGCTATCGCACTTAAGAAATTCACATCCCCAACAAGACCCAATTCACGTTTTAATTCTTCTGGATATCCCGCAACGCTAGCCATGTAACAGGCTTCAACCCCTTGAGCTCGAAGGACCAGTGTGAAATTCTGCATCCAGAGCCCAGAACCAAGTATATCATACTTCGAAAGTCGGTTGTCCATATACACTATGGCGGCTGCTTGAGCTCCATAGAACTGGAAATTCTCTGCTAGAGCAGTCTGTCTCTTCTCATGATCATGACGACCAATCGCCAGCAGTTTCCCATATAGCCCCGCGTCAAAGTCTTCTTTGTGATGCATATAATCGATAGGTGTGTCGGGTATATGAGGCCATCCTTCACGCCATGCGTCTGACAAAGCTTTTTTGAGATTTTCTAACTGGGTGCCAGTTAAAATTATCGCTCGCCAAGCTGCAAGTTGTTGTTTGATGCGGTCAACTGAGCTAACGCTAACGACGTTTTTAATATTTCAGGAGATATGCTATCGGGTAAGAATGGTCGGATAGAGTGACAATCATTAATCAGTTGACCCAGCGAGGTTAAGAGGGGAGACTCAGGTTCCACAGTGGACATTGTCAGGAATGGCGGATGAAGTAACGTTTATAATTATCTTCAGCAGAATCTGCGAATTTGGCCAGTTCAAGGAAGCAAGGTAGGGATGGGCTCTGTCTATATAGTAGAGTGGCCCTCACTATGCTTACTATATCATAATGAACATATATATTATTAATTCACCTGTACTTGAACCGTTGGCATGTGATGGGAGAAATAATGATAATGATAATGATAATGACGAAAGCTGCAGTACGTTTCGTTGATACCGCAGTTTACAGCTGTAGTGAGCGACCCAGTTCTCTAAGGGGCAATTGATTAGGAATATTTTTACAGCGCATGGCTACAGAGCACTAGGTAATCTCTGCGTGTCCATTAGTTCTGAGTTTAGCTTGGCGAAGTAAATTCAATCATGTCATCAAACGCAGGGCCATGAGGTCTGGCACCTCCCAAGTCCATGGAAAATATGTCTCTTACAAAAGTTAGACACCAAGTACAATTACGCACGTCACTCTTTTTTTCTTTTTTCTTTTTTCTTTTTCCCGTACTACCTGCCGTAGGGAGTACATGTAGAGGTATACGAGACACCTGTGTCTGTATTCTAAGGGTTCCGCCAGCTTGAGTGGGAGAGAGTCTAGCCTAAACTGTCCAGCTAGCTCTGCACCAATGTTATGGACGCCCTTGCTGTACATTTTTTTCTTGTTTGCGGCTTGTGCATGAGCCGAAACTGGCTCTCTTTACTTCCTTTATAGAAATATCGACATAGCCTCTCAAAATTTAACGAGACAGATATTATCACGTCAGCGTCTACAAACCGGTACCATGCCCATTTCTTCACTGTGGGCTCGCTCTACGGTACTTGGTAGATACCAACCTCTGCGCATATATACGGGTGCAGTGCATTTACGTTATAGTACTGAGTCATCATCTCCATTGCGGGATGGAGGTTCCCATCACCCCATTGCAAGTATGTCTGTAACCGACGTATAGTCAAAGATCCAAGTTGTTAGGTTCCTACGCACTAATGGCATTCTCCGTTGTATCATCGCTACAGGCCGTAATCGTATTGTGAAATCTACACCCTTGCGCTTAATGCCACTTGGTGGTTCGATTACGTATGGCGTTGGTTCTTCTGACAAGAATGGTTACCGGAAATTCCTTTACGACATGCTCACTTCGGACGGTCATATTGTGGAAATGGTAGGGTCGCGAAAATCTGGGGCAATGCCTAACAACCGGAACGAAGGATGGCGAGGATTCACGATTGACCAGATTGAGCGAAAAGCACGTGTATCTATCCCCTTGCTAATGCCTAATCTCGTTGCCATCAACGCTGGTTCAAACGATTGTCTGCAGAATCTTGAAATTGGACAAATCGGAAGTCGCATCAACGGATTATTGGAGTACATTTGGAGCACTTGCCCAGGCTCTACCATCATCTTGTCTACACTGCTCTCGAACTCGGATACCTTAACAGAGCGGCGAATATTGCGGGCAAATGAGCAATTCCGAGAGTTGGCTTTCCAAAAATACAAACAACACAAGAAAATAATTCTCGTAGATATGCATGGCGCAGATGGGCCCAATGCCGATGAGCTGGTTGACGGAACACATCCAAATGATTTAGCATATCAAAAAATGGCTACCATATGGCAGAGAGGCTTTCGGGAGGCTGTCTCGAAGGGATTTCTGCAAGCATCTGTTCCGAGCAATATTCGAACTTAAGATATGATTTAGCTGTGGGGCTACGTAGATAGATTATGGACGGTAGAGCTTCTGCTCTTAATAAATATTAAGATGCTAAGATAGTATTAATTGTAATACTTTTTTTATGATATCCGACCAATCGATGTGCAACTTTGTGGAGAAACCTTCAATCGGAGAATAGGTAGGCTGTCCAAGAATTTTTACAATACTGAGCTTTTGTTGCAGTTGACTGAACCTAGTTTCTACGTTATGCTACCAGTACAAGATAAAGTCTTTAGAAAGCTAAAATCTTCCACATTCACGACAGATGCTTCATGATTGTAGGGAAAGAAATTCTGTTTTGGGGCTAATAGATATCAGTGACATAGCGACGCCGGGGCATCCTCTATCACGAAGGCAGAGTATTGTTCCAGATGCTGCTAATTGTAACGCGGCCCTCCCAGCCGGGGCTTGATCCACGAACACGATATTCAACCCTTTTGCTTTGGCCCTGCCGAAGCCAGAAACCATTATCATCAAATGTGACGATGGCGCTCGAATCGCTCGGATCCAGCGCGATCCATGTAAATGCACTGACGCCCTTCTCCGCAGTGACGATGAAAGCATTTTCCTCTTGACGGATTGACAAGCCTGGATCAACTAGTTCGGCCTTACTGAGAGGGGTAGCCGTGAAGTAATTGGAATGGGAATAAGTTTTGGTGCCTTGGGTATTCGGCGGCGTCCCGGTGGCAGTAATGTTGGCGATCAAGACTGCATTAGCGGCAGGGAGACTGCCGCCGCTTGTGAGCTGAGGTATATTCATGCTTGCCAATATCGTTGAGTTAACCGAGCCAACCGTGAATTTCTGCGCTTCCATAGATAAGTTGGCTAACCCAACTGGTTTGCCGTCATAGCCAATCCATTCCCAACTGGCCTCACCCGAGACATCGCTCCATAAATCAGAAACCGCATATATATCTAATATGCCTGTAGTGACATTGAATACTGGCGCAATAATAACAGGTTGGAATATGTCTTTTGTCGCGTAAAAATTGACCTTCCAGCGGCCGTCGTACTCTCTGCTTGACCATGTCGGCGCTTGCCAGATATCGTTAAGCTGCCAATACAGTGAACCTAACTGTCGATGAGGCATACCCGAGCCGGCACGATAATACTGAATCTTGGTGTGATAGAAGTCGGCCTGGAATATTTGGGTGGCATGGCACCAAGCAGAGAAGTTGGCGATGGGGTCTGTTTTAACGGGCTGTGGATACCATAGCTGAACACCCAGTGTCATCTCGCCCATGCCTCTGAGAGGATCAGCAATATTAGTAGTAGTTAGGCTGCCAGGTGGATAATGGTGGTTCCGCAAGACGGTCATGGTTGAATTAAAAGATAGTTGGTCATCAGGAATGGCCTCACGCCACGTCTCGATGCTGGGCATAGAATGGAAACCGAACTCATTGGCGAATCTGCCAGCGACATAGTGATTGATGTCGAAAGCCTGGGCTGCGTTATAATCGTAAAAGTCGCTGTCTCCATATAAGTAACCAGGAGTGGTGTTATAGAGGCGATCAACAAACGGAATCGGCAGACTAAAATTGAGTTCCAAGTAGCCGTTGTTGGTGCTACAGGGCATATAGCTGATGCTCCGAGAGTTGCCATAGACGGCAGGTAGCAATGTGTTAAGAAATAGCTCCAGATACTCACTTAAGTAACGTTCATATTGGGCTGGAGAATTAGACTTTATAGCAGGTAGCTCATCCTTCTCCATTTCATTTCCACCGGCCCAGAGTGCCATGGACGGATGATGGTTGACACGTCGCACTTGATAGACGGCCTCCTGGCGGACACTTTCGAGGAAGGCCGGCGCGACTGGGTACAAAGAAACACTAAATTCGAATTCACACCAGAGCAGAATTCCCATCTCATCAGCAAAATCGTACATGAAGTCGGGTGCGTAGGCGCCGCTGGACCAGACGCGCAGCATATTCTGATTAGCGTCCACAACATCAGAAAGGATCTCATGTATGTGCTCAGGTGTGATACGCGGCCAAAAAGGGTCCGGTGGAACAAAGTTGCTGCCTTTGGCATAAAAAGTCTGCCCATTGATTTCGAAGTGAACTGAGATCCTGATTAGCCGGATCGATATTTATAACATGCATGGAAGCGTAGTAGACAATGACTTACAATTGCTACCGTTAATAATTCCTTGGGACAGCTCCAGGTCGCTAATAGGCTCCATGTTGAGGGCAATAGTCCTAAAGCCCATTCTCTTGCTAACAGAGGCGATGGTCTTACGTTTTGAGATAATTTCGACGGTCATGTTATAGAGTTTCTGCGCACCAAGGCCATTGGGCCACCAGAGCTCGTATTCAGAAGCATTGAGGGTCGCAATACCGGTGATGACGTCCCCTCCATTCACTATGTTACTAAAACTCCCATTACTCACCTGCTTTTTAGTGTCTAAATCTACAATTGAGTATCTCAGGTATGCTTCGAGAGGGATGTTTCCGACAACGTCCACACTCGCGTTGAAAATCCAGTCGGTGGACTGATCCGGTGGCACGTTGTTCAGTTGGCCATATCGGTACAAATCAAAAGCCGAATTTTTAACATATACAGATTCCGGCCCGTCAAGTTGAACTAGGTACGCAGGTTGCCAAATGCCTGCAGGAGAAAAGGCTGGGCCCCAGTCCCTGCAGATGGTATCAGCTGTATGTCAACTCAGCAGATGAAGAGTTAACGCACCATCCAAAGTCAGACTGTTCCTTCCGTACAAATTGTCTGTTGGGAATCTCGTAGACCTCATCAATGCCGTTTGGCCATGTCTCCTGTCCAGGTTCCGCCGCAATAGTTGCCGAGATATTGGGTGCAGCGCCAAACCTAACAGCAAGCTGCGGTTGCTGAGCTTGGCAGGATGCCAGGACTTCAGAGATATTAAAAACCCACTGACGAAACTGATTATCAGCGTTGGCAATCTGTTGTCCACAGAAGTCGATGGCGGCGTAGGTGTCAAGACCGTTAAAGACGAGGTAGGTGGCCAGGCTCTCAGAGTTTTTCCTGTGGTTGGTCAGATCATGTACCTGCAGCATATCGGTCACGGCGCACTGATCGTACAGTCCATTGATTTCGCTCGTATATGTCCAATTATTAAAGCCAACCCAGCGAAGGTTGAAGTCGTTTAGTTCGATCAAACTGTGAAGGCTACCATGTTAGTTATGCTATACCCTGCCGTTCCAGGCATCTACCAGGACGTACGGGTCACTAATAATGTTCGCTGCGTAAAGGTCGACGTGGGCGTGCGATGGGACTTTTCCGGGAACGGATATATTTGGGAAGTTTGGACTTATAAGAGTCCACTGCTGCTTCGAAAGATCTAAAATATTGCACGATGCCTTTGCAAATTTTGTCAGTAGCACAGCAGCCGTACCAGCGGCCTGTACGTATGAAGAAAGCCCCATGATATACCCCAGCGGCCAGTATAGATAGCATTCAGTTTATCTCTAAGACGTAGGCAGTACTTCAGAGATGAGCAGATGTAGTATTTTGGCAACCCGGTGAATAGAAGGCATGCTCTTATAACAACCCAAAGCAATGGTGATCTCCAAAAGAGGCACCGCACGGTGGCAGATGACATCAAGTATCCCAGTATAAAGTTCATTCGAATCAACATTCGGTATTATGGGGTCTTGTGACCAGGTATCTGCCCCAGAGGCCTAAACCCTGCTATTTTTTCCCCATTGGCAGTCGCGCAACCATACTTCAAATGATCGGCAGGGAATGGGCACATATTGGTGATATCAGGAGAAGGTACATGTATGCATTTTAGCGGCTTCAAAATGGAACAACATGAATTTTGTAGAGCAGAGAGCGACCCTAGCAGCGAAATGTAAAATGTTATGATATGCATGCGTTTTAACACTTTGCGCATCTCAAGTTGCGGCTACGATCTGCTCTAAACCGTCCGTGATGATACCAGATATCAAATTTACTCACCAACGGCACCAGTAGAGCTTGCCTTAGTCGGGTGACGCAGTTGGTTGATTTGGAGGTAGCGTTGGAATGCGGGGTGTTGCAGTGAACTTTTAGGCTGGCGCTGGTCCTGCGGGGTGCGAAAATCGGACCCGAAAAGCCCTGATGTCCCGGCTTAGCCTTAGCCGAGGGGTCAAGACGCTTCATTGAGAACACTGCTTGTGTTGTAATGAGTATCACCACAGTATGGGTTCGATGCGAATACAATAGGCTGCTAATTGGCCATCATTGTACAGTTGGGGGGGGAGGCAATATCCAGGCCGTATCTCTAGCAAACTGCGGCTTCGATAGTCAATACTATATCGTGTAAACACCAGAGGAGCTACCCGTCACCCCTCAAGAATTCAAGCTGTCTTGTGATACCAAATAGTTGAGTAATATGTCTTATTGGTTTAGTTTCTGGGATTCTCGAGATTTACATCAAACCTATTGTGCTCTTAGGAAGGGTGTTACTCATTATAAAGAGCTGACCTACTCACATCTCAAATCTAATTACTTGAAGGCTGTAGCAGAAAACGATGGCTTCAAATAGCCTCAAACATTAAGATGTAAACGAAACGGGTGACTATGAATACCACGTAGAGTACATCCAGATCGGCCTCCTGCTACAAGACCCTGTTTTTTAAATTTCTTTTTTGGTGTCAACTACTTACTGTATTATAGATGCTTGATAACAGTTCCTATATTGTTTAAACTTAATAGAGAGACAACTAGCCAGCTCCATGGTATATTCTAGTATATTCTAGTACATATCTTCCAACACCAAGCTAGAGAATGTACAACATTGCAATACCGAAACGTAGATAATAAATATAAGGAACTACATTTCAGCGATCGCCTGCTTGATGACTACATCAAGGTTCTCTTTTGGTAGGCCATATTTCTCCAGATCAATAGCTTTGTCCTAATAATTTGAACCTTGAATGCCTTGAAAGTACATCGCAAATAGCCTATACCACTCCGCATAGCCATCGCCTCCTCGGATTTTCGACTCTGTGGGCGCAATTATCTCTGGAGCATCTTTTTCACTAATATCCCAGTCTGCGTCTCTTGTCCCCGTGGCTCACTTGATCGCCTCAAAAATATCTCGCTGCGAGAGCTCGAAAGATGAATAGTAATAGGATTTGTTTCTGAACTGGGCCAACTCAGCTTCTGGCAGGCTGAGAAGTACAGCAACTCCTTCTCCAGATCGTGAAAGGGTTGTCGTCGAAATCTTAGCGTCCGCGTTCTTGAACATTTCTGCTTTCCGGGCTTCAACATCAATGCCCCAGAGGCCGAGTTGAATGTTAAAATCCAGCCAAAAGTTTGTAATAACAGCAATCCAGCTGCTCACTCCAAGATCTTCGATCATTCTGCGTCTCGCTACTTTCGGCGCCATCATAGAATGCTCATTCTCAACTTTTGGTGCATCGACGCCAAACTCTGTTGGAAAGATGTATGGCACTCCAGCCTTGGCGGCTGCCCGGATAAATCGGTCCCCAAGATCCATGTTAGGAATCGGAACAATCACTACCAGAACGTCTTGCCCTTTGAGAGCATTTACAAGGAAAGACTCATCCTCGAAAGACCCTCTTTTGACGCTGACTTCTGATGGAAATTGGCTTGTAGATTCGTTGCGTTGGATGGCAGTTATGGTATGAACCCCTTTGGATAGTAGTGCTTTGAGAGTCGGCTTGCCAAGTTGACCACTGGCGCCAACAATCGGAATCTTACGGCCTGTCAGTGTATGCGCCATTGTGAATCAAATATTAAAAACAGAAGTTGTCACTGAAAATAAAAGTTGTAAGTCGAACACTTAACATAGAAGTTGTGTAATTTTGACCAGGCCTTTTAAAATGCCATGACCAGCCTCAATATATACGAATTCACTGGTCCTCCATTCACGAACATCATACATTATGAATATTATCACTGCCGCACCAGCGGGTGACAAATCAATAATTAATAATTGCATAACCTAGTTTCGTATAACTTAGTTATATTCCAGCGTTCATATATATGCAGCGGAAATCGCGGAGAACTGGTTCGTAAAATGTCAAAAGAGTCAAAGACTGACCAATTTAACACACACTTGAACTGGACAAAATGATGAGAAACGCATATAATTCGATCAAATATACCGGGGTAAAAGAGATAAAAAACTCAAATAAGCCCAACAAAAGTTAAGAGATTAGCAAATAAAAATTAGATAAATGGTCTCATGGCTGGATTCTCAGAACGCTGCGCCAAAGACATGAAGAGGGATTTGAAAGATGGTTTGAGATACGAAGTTGTCTGTATTAGTAAAGATAATTATATAATAGCATATATGTTGATTCAAATTAGCCTGGCCATTGACGTTAATGTCAGGGCACCAAAAGGATAGTCTAGAAAGTCACCCCAACAGAGACCATGTTTTCACCTGATTGTTAGCGGTGAAAGCAAACGATGTATTGCCCACGCCCGGCCACAGCAGCGTGCACAGAAAGGCTAATTTGATGACCAACTAATTTCCCGTTCTGGTCTAGCATTACAAATCGAATGGCTGATTAATGATTAAAGATTCTGCTGGCTGCTTAATAGATGGAGTTCTCCGCTAAGTACTATCTCTTGCCTTGTAGACTTAGCTTGCGAGTGACGTCCAATGCTGAGTGATGTTTATCCATAAACAAGTCTATCTCCACGACTAGAGCTATGTATATATATATATGCTGCTCTCTCTCTCATTCAATATCAACTTTGATTGACAATCAGCCTGTTTTGGTCACAGAAGATTAGCGTATGCAACGAAGATCTCACATATAATTCTTAGAATCACCCATTTGCAATCTTCAGATCCTGTCGTCTGTTATAATTTCATTATTATCCCTCTACCTTCAACGCATCTGCTCCACACCGCAAAGATGTCTTTCATATTTACACACCGCAATCCAGAAATGCAACTGGAGAAAAAGCGCACAGCTGTTGTTTTTGCAGACCTTCAAAATGAATTTTTGGTCAAATCTGGAAGCTATTATCCAATAATTGCAGACAAGCTAAAAGAACTTAATGTCTTTGACAATATCGAGGAACTTTTGAGGTGTGCGAAAGAAAACGATTACCATGTCATCCACTCGCCACATTATTATTATCCAACCGATCTTCAGTGGGTTGCTCCAAACAACGCGATTTCAGACTACCTCGTAAATCTACCCACTGGTTTTGTTGGCCGGAAAGACCCTGTTGATTTGGAAGCCTTTCATGGCTCAGGTGCTGACTACCCAGAGCGGTTGAAGAGATACCTTATGGATGGAAAGACAGCAAACACATCCCCTCACAAAGGGTTATCATGCCTTTCAAACGATTTAATTAAGCAGCTGCGTATGCGACGCATTGAGAAGGTAATTATGGCGGGACCCGTGGGAAATCTGTGCTTGGAGAATCATATGCGCGATCTTCTCGAGGCCGGCTTCGAAATTGCGATGGTACGTGACGCTATCGCCGCCGGCCAAAACGAAGAGGGAGACGCCTATCAAGCTGCAATGGTAAACTTCCGTTTCATGTCCAATGCGCTTTGGACGACGGAAGACACTGTTAAGCGAATGAAGGCAGCAGCGGCAGTGGACAAACAATAATGCACTTCTAGATGAAAATTGTATTTTTATACCAATGTGGTTTATGTTACAATTTAATTAACACGCACTGACGTATATTTCGTTCTACATCTAGTACTGGCATGTTTAAAATTGCAATTATATAATACATGTTATGGCGATTCAGGCGTCGAGCGCTGTGTGATTTGGAATGTCCTGGTAATAAATTCTTGGCGTATAACTCCTATCGTACAATTACGCAACCATTGCCCCAGGCTAGCCTTTACTAGCTAATTTGCAGCTGAACTAATTTCCTATCTAGGGCAATATCACGGAGTAGTTACAGTAATAATGCCCGCGTGCCGAATTGCCTGTACGCTATGAGATAATGTGTCAGTGTCGCCGACATCGATAACGTGATCAAATCCTTCACCATTGGGCGTAAACTTTCTAGCCGTTCGTCCCCAGTGTTTATCTTCATTATAATTAATAATATAATCAACGCCAAGGCTTTTGAGCAATTCATATTTCGCGGGAGATGAGGTTGTAGCAACGACCCTAGCACCTCCTGCTTTTGCAAACTAATTTTCGTATTAGAGTCCTCTGCGGTTGAATGATGGTATAAACAAACTCAACGAACCTGAATCGCAAAGAAGCTCACACCGCCAGTACCTTGAGCCAGCACCCATTCACCTGGCTTCACGGCCTTTAGCCCATAAAGTGCATTCCATGCTGTTACACCGCAATCAGAGAGTGATGCACCCTGGAGATATGACAAATTAGAGGCTCGGCGTACTGGCCAGGACTCTTCAAACACTCCATATTGCTGAAAAGTGCCATCATAAGAGCCGCCTATACTGCCATTGTGCAATGCAGCCATCGTCATCTGGCCGGATTGATGTCCTGGATTGAAAAGGGCTGTAACTCGATCTCCTTTCTTCCACTTCGTGACTTTTGGTCCAACGTCAACAACTTCACCAGCTCCATCAGATCCACCGACAACAGGAAGATTTAGATTGAATATATAATTGCTCTATGAGGTCAGGTTAGCAATAAATGAAGATATCAATCTTCACTTTACTTTAAAACTGGCCTTTGGTTTTGGAATCAAATGATCGCGATAGTTTAGCGAGGCCGCATGTAGTTTGACTAAAACTCCATATTCACCTACTGTAGGGATTGGTCCATCGGCAAAGTCATACTCATCAAGGCCTCTTCCCTGCCCCATGATAACCCATCTCTTCTGAACTGTCGGGAGAGTCATGGTAGGACTGCTGTAAGGTATAGTCAAGGTAGTAGAAGAGTATAATAATATGGGTAGCTAATGAGTGCAAAAACGAACTCAACGTCTTATGTTCCATATTAACTTTTCAAGTGGTAGAACATACATTCTTTTATAGTCAAATCTATATGAACAGGTCCACCACGAATTGTAAAACCTTTTTTATAATCCAAATGATGACATTATACCTATCTAGTTTTCAGCATAAAAGGTAGCAGCACAGTGCGATGCAACACTGTTGTATATTGATGTCAAATCCACTTTAAAGTCCAAGGTAATGATTCGCTAAGCATTATTTGCTTAGCATCATTTGCTAAGCATGCTGAATTAGGTTTGGGCAGGACACACATTTTGCAAAATATCTCGATACTTGTATGTACGTCCACCTATACTACGCTCTAATTTTAGCGTCTAAAGCTTGACATAATGAATTGATGATTTTACATTATTGAATTTCATAGTTGCGGATGGTATATTATACTTAATCTCTGCCTTAACTTAACTAATATCAGAATACCCTTATTTGCTGTCTGCTTTCTTGAGTTTAATGTATGCATTTATCTATAACCCTCTTTTGCCTGCGAACTAGCATGTTGGCAAAGTTGTAGTTAAGATTATTTAGCGAACTAAGCATGAAACAAATAGAAATTAGCATTTGCAATTATAGTGGATCTTATGTTCAATTTAGTTTTTATATACATGTCGTCGGTGGGCACATTACTGATCACCTCGTCCATCGCGTTGTCCCTTTTGGGTCGTCGCTGAAGATGTGTTGGTCAGCTGTTTAGCTGACTTAAAAATCTGAATTATCTGAAGATCCGGAACGCTTAAAAAAACAAAGGAGATACATCTTCTATATCGATCTGTAATAGTAAGTACAATCATTATGCGACGGTTTATCCGGTATCCAAGCAGGCGTATTTGGCGGCCAAAAAAGCGGGGCTCGCAGAAGGAAGTTCTTACACCTTCAACCACTATAATGCAGGGCTTTCTACTATAATACAGCGTGTATATACCGGAGCACAGCGCTTGTCCGCTATATTACAGTACGCACGCATCCGCTATATTTTAGGGTTTATTCGCTATAATGTAATGTATATTCGCTATAATGCAGCGATAATTTACTATAATATAATATGGTTATGGTAAAATAGCATTTATTTATTAAACTATATATATATTCAATTATATCAATTGTAGTTTTATATGTACTCTTTAAACTGCCTACTTTCATTCTTTATCTATATGTATATTAACTGTAAATAATATAATTGTACCTTTTCAGATGCCTAATATATCCGCTTAAATACTGGATAAGCCGTTCTGTATTATTTTGGCGCAGTTGGTTTCGAACATTTTTACATTTCAGCTGCCTCAACACATGCACATGGAACTCATCGAGACTCAATAAATAAAAGAGTCTACTGATGCATATCGACTGCCAAGTTTGCTTGAGGGAAGGTAAATGAAAGTTAAGTAATTGAAGTATAAAAGTTCTATTCCATCCTTGCATATTATATATTAATTACCACGGCAGCGCATCGCCATTCCAGCTGTAGAAGTTCTTCTTCCCGGGGGTATAGGTTTGGATTACATTAACACTAGGCAAAAGGTTAATCACAATATACCTATTGGTGCAAAACGGCATGACTTACACTCCAGTGGCACTTTCCGGCACTTCAATATTTCCATAAGCGTTCATATCAGTCTTCACCAATCCAGGATGAACCAAAAGAACAGGCAAACCCTGTCGGGCCAGAACAGTGTCAAGCTCCTTTCCTAGACGATTCAAAGCAGTCTGTTTTGTATTATTAGTGAAACTTTCTCTACATGCAATATTCAATGAGTCCCTACCTTTGAAACGTTATACAGTGCTGTCGCGTCAAATCCTTTTCCAAATGCCTCTTCGTGAACCGCAGTAATCTCATCGGCCAGCTGCATAGAAGCAAACGAGGAAGAAAGGAAGACCAGAGACTTCCTCTCGTATTTGGACTTCAATAAAAGCGGCACGAACGCAACAGCAACGTGGTACGCGCCATAAACATTCGTAGTCATGTTCTCAATCAAAGGCTGAGCGCCCACGTCAAGCAGATTTCCAAATCCACTCAAAACGCCAGAATTGTAAATCACAACATCTAGAGACCCAATTTTTTCTCCAATTTTAGCAGCAGCCTGGAGAACAGAATTTGAGTCATCTGCATCAACAGCCACAATCTGAATTCTTCCTTTGTTTGAGTCGGAAAGAGCCTGAAGCTCAGTTGCCTTATCGGGGTTTCTGGCAGTGGCAAAAACAGTGGCTTGGGGGTAAGCAGACAACTACAGGTTACGTTAGACTATGTAATAGTATATCAGACGTAATAATATGAACTTACCACCTGTTTCACTATGCCCAGGCCAATGCCACGCGAGCCACCAATAACAATGATTGACTTTGCTTCGGACATCTTGGCTAGATAGACTAAGATGATTCAAAAGTTTAAACTAGTTCTTTGTTTTTGTTATGAGCCTAGTATATAGTACGACTTGATAGAGTGATGTATCTGTATTTGAGTTTCCAGGAACCATTAAATACTATTATTTTTGAACCACTTAATACTCTTGTGACTTCTATGGATGTCTACGTCTATTATAAATAGCAATGTTGCTGAATTGGCAAATGATCTAGAACGTGGCACAATAATTTATAATTCGCTATACTGTAATTAAGCTATGAGCCACTAAGTCGTCTAGAATAGGAAAATTATTGGCCTATTTCCTAGCTCTTTTTCCAGTTAGCATTTTGATAAATTGCCCAACTATTACTCCGTATTGATTTCAAATTTGTTACTCAGCGCCATTCAAGAAGTGGGGGATGCGCCAGCAATTGCCAAAAGTGGGAAAACATGGCATCCCGTAAGAGAAAATCTTCAATTTACTACAACAAGGCACCGATGTTAGTAGCGTGCCTGAAATTACTAGACGTCATCGCTGCGATGTAAATGAAATTTGCGCGGTAAGGTTTATGCGTAGAAGAGTGAAAACAGAAGTTCTGGTACCTTGGTACAGTTGAAAATCAACGTCATCTTTATTAAAGGATGCGCACTGAAGGCATCAAATTGGATGCTGAATGGCTCCTAAGAAACAAGCGAGAAATTCACATCGAATTTGCAAATATACAACATTTTTGGCGCATTCTTTTCTTCTAATGCAATATCTATGAGTAAAGTACTGCTAGGAGCCTCGTGTGCAGAGAATATAGAATTATGAAAAAGCTACATGCTAATGTTTAGCAACAGTGCATATCGCAATAACGCGTATCTTATAAGCCACACATCAAGAACAATGATTACAAATTGCTAATCCAATTGATTGCCATGGGTAATACTAAAAAAGAAGAGGCTACTCTCATAATGTTGCTTGAAACGTGGTTAACAGGTGATGATAAAATAGGTACCGTAGCCCCCTTGACACGCGCTACCGAGTTGGAAAAGCGGCTTCTTCCGTCAGATGATTACTATTCAATCATTTTGTGCCAGATGATTACTATTCAATCTCAACTAAGAGCTGCTTAGAAATTATACCTCGGTGCGAATTTCCGTAAGAGGTTGTTGGAGGAAACAATATTTCGAAAGGAAGAACATATATCCACCTTATTCATTGTGTTTATATTCCCTGTATGGAAACTCTTCAGCAGACTTTGGGGACACATTTTTTTGTCCGTCTTTTCGCAGCGCGATGAGATGTATAACATGCGAAAGATATTTGGCGCACCACTGAATCATTGGTTGTTATATTTACCGGACGATGTGAACCAAATTTTTCTTCGTCATATGAAGTACTTGTTCTTATTATCTCGTTCTTGTGTTGTCCTCTATTCTTGCTTATCATGCCTACCCTAGAATAATTTCCAGGTTATGTGAACTGCTAGCTGTTAAGCGGTCAATAGGGCACACCATTTGTTCGTTTAGCAAAGTAGACTTCGTTCTCATGAATATGGCATTTAGTGGGCATCCGACCTACTCCAGCTACATAGCAGGCAGCATGCAGCTTTGAGTGGCTAGTCAGAAATGAATGTAGTTCCCACCACTCAATAGCGCTCCTAGTAAACTGCGTTTATGACGTTTTCCTTAGTTCCCCTAGCAGAACGAGATAAATAACAGAGAGCGTGCGTTTACTCGAGTAATTCGTTACACACTGTGCGCTGCGAGAGGAGTTTCGCATAATCTAGATCCTGATGCATGATTAAACTGTCTCATATCCGTTTAGAGTAATGCGTTCCGAATGGATGTGAGAAAAAAAAACAAATGCTCGTTTACGGAGAAAATTAATCATTAATAAACAGCGATACGGCATACGTACAGGTAAGCTAAGAAAGGGTGATAGCGCAGCTGATCAAGACAAAGATTGAGTTTAGCATACATAGAAATGGAATCTTCGTGCAAGTTATATACAGACTTTTGGCATAGCGCTGTACTAAAGAAAGTGGGCGCGTAATATTTTGATTCGTTGGTAACGGCATGCAAGCTTTTGAGAATGCAATATTAATTGCAAGCTGATTTTAGCTATGCATGTAGCAAAGTAGGAAAAGAGAAACGGGGTGAACAGATGATTATTTACAAGTAAACCGTCATGTATTCATCGACAGCATATCCAATATATAGCTCTAAGCACTAATGGTTATCTTTTTAGACACCATGGAGTAATTTACATCTGGAAGGCCAGTTACTCAGCAAACAATCACTATTTGTAAAATTCTACTCGTCAAATGTTACAGAAGATCAACATGCGTCCGCGAGCAATAATTCTCACCAGAAGTCCTTAAAATATCTCGTGGTTTGCTAGCAAAGTCTTGGTGGTCTGGCCTTTCTGACGAATGCACCACTGGCTGGTGAAAACAGGTAATATATATTAAATCGTTGTAGCATAGAGCGCGAAATGACATTATAGCTGGGTTTTGGTCTTTAGAATTATATATATTCTGACAGCCCCTCATTTACCTCTTAATACGCTCCGACTAAGAAATCAATGGCATATTCGGTATTCACAGCTAATACAAAAGCATTCCATTTTAGTTTTTACTGTCTAAATTACATAGAAAACTGCTTAAGCAGCAATACGGTGCTCAACGTACACTGGCTTGGCGAAGCAGAATAAATACAGTAAGAATTAGCTAAGCGCTAATAAACATTGACAAAACAGTTCATCCATAGATTATTTGCAAAAATACAGGCAATGCTTCTTTAAGTTGCAGCCACTGAACCTAGATGTGACTGTAAGAATATAGGTTTCTGATTCTGTAATGCTATACGTACTATTGTTTATAAAAGGAACAGCTTTCTCTTTAATGCCATCTGTAAAGTCGCATGTCCTCTTAACTAAAACGCAACAGCGTTAGGATACATCACCACAGCTTTTCAGTATGTCTGGAAAAGGCTACTTGGACAACACTGCCCTACACGCGCAGGCAAAATGGCGATCAGCCCTCCTCACATATCCTGGAAATCTGCAAGAAGCTTTACGAGAAGCGCAAAAAGACCCTAAGAAAACTATGTTTGGCATTGCTCAAGGTATCCCTAGCTCTTTTTTAACAAAGGTTTATGCTTCTGTAAGGCCAGATTTTGTTTGGATTGATGTTGAGCATGGCATGTTTGATCGAATAGTACTTCACGAGTGCGAACACTCTTATCCACGATGAGGAGAGAGCACTAACTCGAACAGCGCTATTCATGCAGCACAGCATCATTCAGAAGGCAAAACAATGGCCTTAGTTAGGGTACCCAAAGAAGACGAATGGGCTTTAACTACGGCTTTGGACGCTGGCGCAGCTGGCATTATTATCCCTCACAGTGAAAGTAAAGAGGAAGTTGAAGAGTTCATGAAGAGAATCTATTACCGTAAGTGTGGATATAATAAAAACAAGATATTCAAGAGCCACACCAGCTGACCGCATCTAAATTCACAAGCTCCTCTTGGCAATCGCTCATTTAGTCCGTGGATTTTTACTCCTGGCATTTCAGATGCTTCGTTATATCCAGACGATGCATTCAATATGAAAACATCAAATAAACATGTCGCTGTAATTCCACAAATAGAGAGTGTACAAGGAATCTCGAATGTTGAAGAGATTGCTTCAATACCTGGTGTCTCAGCGCTCATGTTCGGGCCCGGCGATTTCATGGCAGATGCAGGGGTACCACTATCTCTAGGCGAACCTCATCCTACGCTTCTTTCTGCTATGGAGAGTATGTCAAAGGCAAGCAAAAAATACAACGTGCCGCTATGGGGGTAAGCAAATGCCCAGTAATGAAAGCATCCATCAAATGTTAACTCAACCTAGTGCTGCTACGAACCTCGATATGGTTCCACAGATGATTGAATCAGGCTATCGTGCAATTATGGTTTTGGATGTGTGGTCAATTGCCAATATGATAAAGTCCACGATTGAGAAAGTGAAGGAGTCAATTACAATTTAAGCATCAATTTTGTTGGATCTAGAGTGTGTATTGCCTTTTCAGACCTTTATTATATGTCAGTACATTCTTTTCCTTCTCTTTTTTTGTAGTCTTTATTTTTTCTAATTATATATACTAGAGTCACCATATTCAACTGGATTCTTTTATGTATTCTTGTCAAGAGATTATTTAATATTTTCCCATATGCCGAAGCCGCAATTAGTAATGCAGATGAAGCGCTAGAAGCGTGGTTTGATGACATATTGGTTAAGAATGCACACGGCCTGTTGTTGGTAGCCAAACTCCTGCTTTTCATGCATCTTTTTATATTATCCCACTGACATTGACGGCCTCTTCTAAACCACAATCAATATCATACTGGACGTCATTATCTTCCTGGTGCCATTTATCTCCTGTATTTAATATCCTCTAGCAATAACGAACATTCGACTTCGAAATAAACACTTTTTGCAATTTACCGAAACTTATTGGAGAAACTTAGGTATAAGAGAAAGTTTTACTGGAGAGTTATATCCAGATACGGCTTTCTATACCAACAATCATAATGCACCTTACTCAGCGGAGCTGACCTAGTATGGGTAAACTTAAGTACTACAGTAAGTTGAATCGAGCTTCCCAAAGCCAAAATAAAGAAACAGGGGGCCATTTCTTCAAAAAAGAAACTGCGTGGCTGATAAGAAGTGATCCACCAGCGACATATCCTTTGGGTCGACATCGTTTACAGACGGACAGCATCAACCATTGAACGGTTAGAAACTAGAAGTGCTTGGTAAATTTGAAAATGAACCCTATATGGGAAACTCCTATTTATATCTCATGGAGAACGATGACACCAGACCAAGACTCAAATTTTTACATTCAATGTGAGTTTTGCATTCAATGTGCGGAAACGGAGGCAAGTCCAGTGGATATAATTGCTACCTAGCTATCTTTGCTCACGAACAACAGGATTTGGAAAGTCAATATTAAAAGAGCTTTTATCTCGGTCGGAGAATTGAGGATGAACAAGTTAGTAATATAAATAAAGAACGGCACAACAATAGAGCTATTAATCTCGTGTATTCTCCTTAACTTTTAACTACATTATGGGCGATTTTATTGTTGGGGCGCTTTTTAAGAGTAACTGGAATAAAAGTCCATTGTAAATGCAAAAGATGCCTTCATAAAGTATCATTGTATAAGTTGCTAACTCCTCTCTTCAAAGCATGGTTTCATCAAACTTGGGAGAATACTTTTGTAGCTCATGCTCCGAAAAGGTCAAGTCTGACTAATTGTCAGAGTTAATTATAATGCTCTCTGGGGGTAGTGAGAGGGAGAATATAACCATAGTACTTAATTAACTAGCGCTATAAAATAAAGAGGTCTTGCGTGTTAAATTTGCATTTCTTTTCCTTTACTTTATATTAAATTTATGGGAATGCTTTTGCAATAGTAACTTTTGAAACCAGAAAATACAAAGAAAAAAAAGATGAAAAAAAAAAAAAAAAGAAAGAAAAAAGAAAAAAGAAAAAATCTTGCTATTACCTTTGATGTTTTGAGTCACAAATACGTAAATTGTAGAGTTGTAAGGTGAGGTTCAGCTTTCTCCGGACTTTAGAACAAAGCTGCTGATTAGTAATTAATAAATGTTAGTTGAGAAAAATAAGCTAAGCGCCTTGTTAGTAATAGTCCGTTCCACGCACGTACTCATATGAAATGTTTCCCTCTCGGGCAGGAGGATAAATTATATGGCGACTGCTCATTGTAAATCTCTTAGATATAACGAAAGCGAGTGAGCCGTAAAAGGACCGAAGTGCCGAAATGATTCAAGCTCCTTCTACTTTAGGGGTCTCTCGTACTAGTACTAGTTTAAACTCCCCCAGATACGGCAAACACGGCAAATCGTTATTATCCACCAATAATTGTACCCCATGATGAATGAAGCATCAAGAGATATCTTGCAGCTAAGTTACCTATTCAAGCTTATTTACTAAAGGATCGTATGAAAAGTATTAGAAAGACAGTTACAGATTTAGAACGTAATTACTCTTTCCTTGGTTGACTTAGACCGGTCCACTCACCATTAAATATAGCTATGTGCTCATGACATCTAATTATATAAAGGACAACCATTTCCACGTTTGAGATTTATACACTGTCTTCTATTCTTCACATTATCATCTTACAATTACCTAAAGTCAAAGTAAAGGTATCAAAATGCATTTCAGACTCGCCATGCCCTTAGGTTTCGCTAGCTTAGCGCTAGCTGTTTCCAATCCCTCAAGCCAGAAAGTCACCAGCTCGGCAGCTTTCAGCAGCGGAGCTGGAAACAACAATAATGCCAATATTTACGACGGCACTGGAAATGCTGGAACGGACACTTACAGTAATTCTCCACCTGCGATCTTATCTTTCACTACAGTTAGACTTTCGAATGCAAAAATGCTAATACTTTACAGGGTGCTATTATGGTGGCTGGGAAAACTTCCCTCCCGTTTCCGAATGGATAGAGTTCGATGCAATGTGGAACTACTCAAAAAATGCCATGGCGGAGTCGTGTGCCGACTTAGGGATTGGATCGTGCTCAAATGGCGCTGGCGCTTTTGGAGCTGGTAACAGCGGAGAGCAGACTGGTCTAATTTGGAATGCCATCCAACAAGTTGCCCAAACTTCTTTGGTTGACCATAGATTCATTCTGGCAACAATTTTGCAAGAGGTACTTTTCTTCCCATTCATAAACTAGACTGCAAATTTTTGTTTCCATCTACTAACGCTGACAAAGTCCATTGGCTGTGTCAATGTTTGCCCGACTACCAACCCAGATCCTTCTCAGCCAGATAATCCCGGCTTGATGCAGTCTGATGGTGGAGTAACATTTGTAGGAAATTCAGCCAGTAATTCAGCTCAACAGTCTAGTATAACTCAAATGGTTATCGATGGAACCCAGGGAACCGCCCTTGGCGATGGCCTTGTTCAGTGCATAAATCAATATGGAAATATCTACGAAGTAAGCTATTTACTGAAAACTGATCCACACAAGTGCTGACCATTAATGATTAGGCTGCTCGCTGCTATAACTCGGGCTCAGTTGACAGCGGAAATTTGAACGATGGCGAGGGTGCTACAAATTCATATGTGAATGACATTGCCAATCGGATGACTGGCTGGCTCTACTCCGACAGCAAATTCAACCAATGTTAAATTCCATATTCAAGGTATATATTACAAAATCCAGGTGTACATAAATCACATGTATATAGTTTCTGTATATATTCAAAATCCTAGAATACGTGAAGCATATATTTATATACATATCCAACGTATTCAACACTTTCGCTCGCTATATCTTAATGTTCGAGGTATGCATGCATGCAGTGGTCATTCAGTCCATATACTCAACCACACCTGCACAAATAGTTATTACAATACATGTTTTGCCATGACAGGGTCAACGAGAAGTCTGCAGTAACTGCACTTGCTTTCATGCTTTAGTCATACCTGCTGCGCATGTAAGATTTCGAGGACATGGTTCTTCGCTTATCTGCCATACCTTAAAACATCCATCTTTAACAAGGAAGCATAATTGGGAACTGTGCTGATTCTTTGCAATGGGCTCTTCAAATATAAGCATTGGACTATGCACCTTCCTAAACGGGAAGTTGCTAGGATACCTCAACGAATACCAATAACATTGAGGCTTTTCGGACATTTACTAAAGTGAATGGGCATCGTATGCACTGTAATGGAACATCTGTACCTCTGAACATATGCTGCTTGCACGATAAAGGTTAGCTACTGGTATATAGGGGTATTTTCCACGTTGAATACTAAGTTTAATTATATCTAGTATCACAAGATGGATGCAAGCTCATTCTATTTAAACGCATTGTGAGTAATCTATATAAGTCAAATTAGTAATCTTTTTCCATTGGAGGATAATCTATTGGAGCAGAAGAGATAGAGCCATTCGCTTACAATCATTTTGCGCTTGGCAAGTATACGGTGACACGCATTGTGTCGGGCCTGTCCAGCCAATGCCCCCGCACTGAGCGTAATGCTGTGCAAGACCTGATCCTGTAGGGCTGGACGACGAGCTAGTACGAGTCGATGAGATCACAGTCGACGTCTGGGTAGTCGACACAGTTGATGATTTAAGTGTGGTGCTGCTTCTAGCGGTGGTGGTGCTGCTAGTCTTACTCGAGGAGGAAGAGCTTCCACCTGTGCCACCGCTAATTGTGCCCTGAGCATAGAAGACACCACGACCGTTGGTACCGACATAAACCTGACCAGAGACGCTGGCACTACCCGCTAGCTTGGCACCATCAATGGCGCCGAAGCCCTGGGTGCCACCTTGAATATCAGTCCAGGTTGCGCCGTTATCTGCACTGGCATAGAGGCGGTCGCCAGCTGAACCGGTACCGAAGGCATACAGATTCCAGTTCGATCCGGAGCCGAGGCCAAGAGCAATCTGGTAAGTGTTAGTAAGAGCAGTGGACACCTGAGCGAACGTCGTGCCCGAGTCAGTCGAACGGAAGATGCCAGTATCAGTGGAAACATATAAAGTGCCCGCGGTTGTTGGGTGGGCAATAATGTCCCGGATAGAGGTGGCGCTACCCAGTTTTGGCCCAGCTGTAAAGCTGCTACCGGTATTATTGCTGACATAAAACGTCGATGCGTATCCAGCATAGAAGAGACTGTTTGTCTTCTTGTCTGCGGCGATCACGGCAGCTGCGGGCAAACTGGAGACTGAGGTGAAGCTACCCTGGTATTGGGATCGCTGCACACCCGTTGATCCTGTCGACCACAGGATTGTATCAGCGTTGGCTGAATAGGCTACAGTGCCGCCATTCATGTTTGTGTCAGCGCCGTAGTCAATGTTCCATGTTACACCGCCATCCGATGAAATTGCAACTTGTTGAGTGCCAGCAGTGTTGCCGACTCGGACAACATTTTTGACTGAGTTACCTGCGTAGTCAACGCTTGTCGAGGTCGCCCATGTTGGAGTCGACCAGACTGTCTGCGGAGAAGTACCAAGGCTACTCGCGCTTGTGAAAGTGTAGCCATTCTCATCTCCAAGAGCCACTAACAGCTCGCTCCCGCCAGGTGCAGAGGCTAGGCCTTGGATAGCAGTCTCTTCGATGCCATCTGCGAGCGACTGAATTGTCACATTGTGAATTGTATCCCACTTAGTCAAATCATGACCACCGAAGATCGTCATGCCAGTACCGTAGAGCCAGTGATTACTGTCCAGTGGATCAATCTCAAGTGACTCGATCATCCAGCCAAGACGCTTGATAATTCCGCCAGGTGGAGTTTCGCTGGTTACGTCGATGAAATCATTTTTAATCCATGGGGCTAAGGGAGTCTTAAAATCGGTCAGTGGCTATTGTTTAATAATAGGATACAGCATCAATGTTAGCTTACCGAGATGCTATAATAATAAGTCATGGCAGGATAGCTAGCCCATGCCCACAGAGGGCTCCAAGTCGCCCCTGAATCATTGGAACGGAATAACTGAGCATCTGGCCACCAAGAATTCAGTGAAGCGACGACAAGTGTTCCTGGTTTTTGCATATCAAGACCGAGACCGCCAAAGCCAAAGTAGAGATTTGACCCGCTCACAGGAGTTATGTCTTTCCACGTCCCAGCTGTGATATCGTATCTCCATACCGACCCAGATGTGCCGTCATATGGTCCCGTACCATCAGAATAGGTCAGGTACAAAGCTTTTTCTGTTGGCTGGAGTTTGGCTTTGTGGGGAAAGTATCTACCTGGCTGTCCAGGGACGGCAGTCCATGTGGAGCCGGCATTTGTGCTCATGTATACTGAAGCAGTTATGTTATCAGCAGTACCAACAAATATCCGCGACGTCGCGCCACCAGTAGTGTCACTAGTTGAGTCAAATGTCACCCATAACAGTCCCTGTTTGTCGCTATTGTAACCAGTAGTATCACTCGGGTCTGGTACAAACGGGCCCGTGTCTGTAAATGATGCTACCTTTGAAAAGGTGACACCACCGTCTATAGATTTCCACAGACCATTTCCAGACCGAGCCCCAAAGTAGATAATATTGGAGTTGGCTGGATCAATAGCTAGGCGCTCTCCAGTGCCACGTCCCGGCATGTTACCTCCGACTTTAAATGTCAGGTTGCTGAAGGACCAGGTTGCACCACGGTCCGACGACCTAATAATAGCACCATTATTGGGATCCCTGTAGACGTGTCAGAGTTATCAACCCTTGGCCTGGGTAAATTGTACGAACCAGCTGTTAGTATACATGCCTACCGCAGCGTATATCTTCTCGTCATTCTGGGGATCGAGAGCAACGGCATCAATGCCCCAATTATGCCAGCCGGCATCATTAGCAATGCCATCCGTAATGGCGGTCCAAGAATCATCAGAATTCAAGCGATAGAGGCCGCCGATATCTGCTCGGGCATAAGCCACGCCTTTTGTTTTGGGGTGAAAGACGATTCCAGGAATAAAACCGCCACCGCCACCAATTTTAACATTCTTCCACGAAAATGAGGCCTGAACAGGGATAGCTGCTCCGAGGAAGAGCGCAAGTGCAGAACCGTACTTCATGGCGAAGCAACGCGAAGGCTACAGCGGAAACCGGCCAACGGAGAAAACTTACAGCCAACTTAATTCATATCTCTATGATGGCGGAAAACAATGGCTTTTATATACTATCTCGGCATCTAACAAATGTGCGGCGCAACACAAACACCGTCAGCATAGGTAAGGTGTAACAATTGCCTAATATATTTTTCACATAGCGACATTTGATATATCCTTATAGGCTAGAATCCAAATCCGCCAGTTGTATATGTTTTGGATGGATAGAAGTTAGAGATTAATATAGAGGATAATTGAATTATATCCGAATTGTGGACCATTGTTGTAAGGGCTCTATGCGCACCAATTACGTGAGAATCGTAAGGGTATATTAGGCTGTTAACTGCGATCGAATGCATTTATTATGTATACGTGCGTTTTGTTTCTTTAGGCTCTGATAAAAGTTTACCAATACTAACTTATAATGGAAAGCGGAATATGCTTAATAAAACTGCCGGTCTACAGAAAAACGTATCCAAGAGGCATATAATAGTTAAGTATAAGAAGCAGAAGAAGCAAAAGCTTAGAATAACTGTAAATTCATGACATTGGCCGCGTTTGGTATGGTGGATAAGGTTACGAGCTAGTCCCTTGTAATAGATCAAATCCTTTATAAGCAGCTGGCTCTGTTACAATAATTGCTACAGTTGCGATTATTGGCTTGATCTTTTGCCCTGTTTAGCTTAATGATATAACAGGTCGATTGACATAAAGAAATTGGTGAGGTGAATAACAATTTAACAATTTAATTTCGCTTAATCACACACCGAGAGACTTGAAGAAAGCATATATAATGCGTGCTATACCAGCCTTAATACCAGCTCTGCTCAAACTTAAAGACGGTTACGAATATTCACAATCTCCTCCAATCACCAACACTAGCGCTTCAACCGCAATCCAACCATATCAGAGCCAGTTACTTCCTATTCCCAGCATCAAGAAGTAGTAAAAGCAGCTAAAGATGCTGTTCAGTTTCCAAAAATTGGGTGCCAAGAAATGACTTCTCTCATTTTGCTGACCAGCTTCAAATCTTCCACAACAAAACTTTCAAGGCGTTGACATGATTTGCCTCAGATAGACAAGAAATTTTGGGACGACCATATCCAGTAATACTTCAATATCCAGAATATCAGAAGCCTCATTACTGATTCTTAGCGCTCGAATTGAGATGGTATCTTTTTCTCGGGGAAACTACTTGGGATGCATGACAGGAATACCCGAAGCTGCTCTTGAGTTTTATGGTGCTGGACGCAATGGTCTCTAGTTGGAAGAAGCCTTTGTCACTGGATTTCCCTCTAGGTCAACGAGGGCTTATTGTCTCCCAGTTAGTCGGGCTTTGAATTAAAGATCTTAATCTCAACCAGGTATTCGTTCTGCCTCCGGAAGATAGAAATTATAGGAATTGTAGGAGTCATAATGCCAAACTGCTCAACATATTGGACTGTTCCTAGGTTATGTTTGCGGCCAGCCAGTTCGAAATGATCTCGGTGTTGTATTGTTTTGGTTGGTTCTATATTGAGGTCGAGATGATCTTTAGGGCTGGGTTAAGAGTTAGAGGTAGCTACTCGTTGTAGTAAGTATGTGGCTCCACCGATGATCACAAAGTTCACTTTTCCGTGAAGGATTGTTGATAATGTGTAAGCAAGTTGTGTAAGTTCCTCGGGGGTTAAGTCAATCCATTGGTGCATCTTGGAGCTGGGAGGACAACAGCGAGGAACAATTAAAGAGTGAGAGGCGAGAAGTAGTAGAAGCAAAGAGGAAAGCGTAAAATTGAAGTGATCTAGATGATTAGCATTCAACCATTCGGAAGTGTTCTGCTACAATATATACTTCATACTATATGCAATAAGGTCTGCCAATATGAGAGACCCAGTGGCTATTTCCTTCCATAATATTGGTCATTATCGATTTAAGCCTTCTAATCTTGACATTTTATAATTCTTCATAGTCAAGAAAAGGGGTTGGATATGAGGAGCGAATCTTAATAGGCACAGTTCCTGCGGCCTACTAGAAGGCCTATACGACCAGTTTTATTGCCAACACCTTTCGAAAGCTTCATAATTCATTTGGTAGTTGCAGAGCAGAATATCATTCGATTGCTAGATAAAGGTAGAATAGTGGATTATTAGAAGTGCCTTGTCATTTACGCCATAGTCCTTCAATATTGTCGCCCAGAGATATCAATAGCAATCGCAGAACATCGCACACCGCACGACCACTCCCTACGCTCGTTTTGTTCGCCTTGCCCCTTGGAAGTTTGCTATAGGAGTTGACCTTTATGGATTTCCTTGCTGAAGTTTTAAAGCCCATTCCTATGGTTGTTTGGGGCGGACCCCCTAGAGCATTGCGTGGTGAAGTCGTTCTTCTACGTAAGTGCTATGCTTTCACTGTTCAAAAATCTGTGCTTTGTGTTGCCGCTTAGTAGAGATATTAGGGATACTTTCTCATTATGAACGAATGCGACCTTGAACTCGCTAAGACAAAGCTGCTCAGTGTTGGGTGTATTAGCGCGCCATGAGAATGGGGCTCCTATCACCCGGTTATGATAACGTAAAGCGCATACTCGAGAAGCCGTTCTCCGAATGTGACGATGGCGACAACAGTTCGATTTGCTTTGCATTTCCTTCGGGAATTGTGCACATTACGAAGGAACTTATTACCCTCATCCTACCTTCCTTCGTGGGGTTTGTGTGATTTAAATATATTACTAAGCTGCCAAAACACAGTAAGTCCTTTTAGTTTTCGATAACAGAATTTCCTCCAATATTTTTCCAGTCTAGGCGATTGATAGCCGCGAATTTACATCGGCTTCCATACTTCGTATTCATGGATCATCTAGTGCCTATTGTCGCGCATTGCTTTCTCTTCTCTGTGCTGAGCTGATTCGAGGTAGCGTTATCACGTGCCACTGCGTACATAGTCTAGGTCTTCAATACAGGAAATCACCCTCTGTGGCGCGTCGCGAAATTCAACCTCCATCTCCTAATGGATCAACCGCATGAAACAACATTTAACGCCGCCTTTCCACGAACTAAAAACGGTCGGTTAGTTGCTTGCGAGCCTTGCCAAAGACGGAAATATGCTTGTGATCGCTCTCTTCCAACATGTCTACGCTGCCAGCGAAGTCGGGTGAAGAAGCCTTGCAGATATGTTACGACGAACCCCCAGCATGCGCAGAGCTCTGATCACTGTTCCAATAATGCTCGAATTGTTCACCCCAAGTCCCCGCATAATAATTTGACGGTAGATCCATTACTATCAAGCAGTACATTTGAAACAGTTGAATTGATGATGCCTAATGCGCCGACCCTAAATCCACTCAATGAGAGTGAAGTTCTCAGCCGCTACGAAAGCATGCCTCCAACCCTCAGCTCTCTAGCCCATGAGAGAAACTCTTTACTAATTATGGACATCAGCGGATTGCAAGCAGCTTTGGATGTTCTATCTAGCTTGCCAAGTCTTGAGGCAGAACACATACTTGCTAAGCCTCATATCAATCCGTTCAATGGATGGATTCCATTGCCTACGACGCAGATATTGACCGAGCTAAGAAGTACTTATGCTTCTGCATTTCAGCAGGGCAAGAAAAGAGAGCACTTGATTGAACTAGCACTCATAATCTTCTCAAATACTGCAATAGCACTATCTGACGGCCAACATTATCCATCAGAGGAGTGGTACACATCATTCTCTGGCCCACGATTAAGATGGGAGACAATTGGGCTGCTCTTCAGCAGCTGGGCTCTATATGCCCTTCAAAACAAAGAGCACATCAGTCAATATCGACCCAGAGTACTGGTGGCCAAATTCTTCAATGTAATGGAAAGCTGCATCAGATTCTGTCAATTGGCCAAATCTAGCAACATATTTCTACTCTACCTCTTATACCGGACTAGCATTGTTTCATCTATTTTGCATGGCCCTAATAGTGAATGCCCCCTTATCTCTGTCTAGCGACAATGAATAATGCTAACGAGATCATTTTAGATGCCAATTTTTGGAGGCTTCACACAGAAACGATCTCTTTAGCATGTTCTTTGCGACTTCATGCTATGCCTGATTCCTCACTAAAGGACTTTCATATTAAGAAGCAATCGGAACGCCGTCTGTTCACCGCAATATATATTCTTGATACAACAGCTGCGGCTTTCTCTGGTAAAAGTCCTATGTTAACATCGCAAGACTGCTCTACAGCTTTGCCACTGGATATCTGCGATGCCACTCTCTTACGCAAGAAGCCCAATGAGACTTCAGACCTTCTCTCGCTAGGAATTGATGACTATGGCTGGAATACTGGGGGGAAAATCTATGGCACAACAACTCTGCGAGCAAGAGGGTTGATAGCGAATCTTCGAGAGAAGATTCTGGTTATTGCTCTAAATAAAAGACCGAAACTTTTGCCAGATTTAATGTAAGCGCATTTCATCCTCAATCTACTTGAGACTAACATTTCCCCAAACACAGCAAATTAAAGCTTAAACAAGTCTATGCTTTCAGCCAACTTCCTAGCTGGATTCAGTTATCTGATGCTGATTGTAAGCTCAAATCGCTTGAGCCTCATGTTTTGTACACCAAACTTTTCATCCGACTCGAGCACCTTCAAAATATCCTTCTCATTGAAAGAGTATTGCACGATATTCAACCTGAAATCGCCCAAGATGAGCTGGTTGAGGTCTGTTTGGAAATTGTATCAGTTACAGTTATTTTCTGGACGCGAAATGATTGCTTGGTGGGCATGGAGGGCGACCATGAGTGGCTTATCACAGGCTATGCGGTTCCAGCTGCTGTCACTTTATGTAAAAACCTCCTTCTAGCGCACGATAAAGGCTCCTCTATGTCTTCCGCTCCTGTCTCAGCAATTATTCAACAACTGAGCTTACTTGGCGCTTTTATAGAATGGCTGATGCTTCGTGTGCCTTGCACGGATCGATGTATTAAGACAAGGAGTCTCATTTTGCAAGTCTTGGACCAAGTCCTCAACAATCCACCTCATACAACTACTGGTATATTTCAAGACAGGATATCTCGGAGATCGGCTTCTCACATAGTTCATCCCGACGAATTAGAAGATATTGATACGTTTAATTGGCTTAAATAAAGACTTGGGGGAATATATTTTGTCTATTACTCAACTAGCTTCACTCAATCATGGTGATGCTTCATTTTACAGTTCGTACCATCTCGATTTTTACGATATCCTCTATTACTGAGTGAGACGTCTTATTGTCTCACATTAATAATCAGTTTTGATTTCCTCCCCAGCCATCTTGGCGTAATTTTCTCTGGTAAATCCAAACAGCGCAACATTGCTTATCTTCTCGTTCTTACAAACAGCCATTTTTCTAGTACCCTCATACTGATATCCTGCCCGCTTTAATACTTTCATGCTCCCTTCATTTTCTTCGACAACGCTGGCTTCCAATCTAAGCAGTGTAGGAGCCTGCTCAAATATCCATTGACTGAATCCGGCGATGACCTCCGTCATTATGCTTTGACCCCAATAATCTGTTGATAACCAGTATCCAAGAATTTTTGTTCTTGATTCTACACCCTTCAGATGCTGCAGTCCGCAGCTACCGATAAGAGTATTACTATCAAGAGTGCAAATTGCGAATTCAAGAGCCCCTTCTTCACTGGCAATTTTAATCCACCTTGCCGCATCCTCAAGCGTGTATGGGCTCGGAAAAGCATCTGTCATATATTGAGAGACTAGATGTGTATTCGCGCCACGAACGATTGCATCGGCGTCTGATTCATGGTACCGTCGAACGATGCTCTTGCTCAATGTTAAGATAACTTCCGAATCTTGCGCCATTATTATTGGCTGAGCAGAGGGGCTAAAGGTTTTTTTTATTTGTTGTAGAGATAGTGAAAAATGCTCTCTACTTGTACTGAGAAATACCAACCTATATACTTTTTTGAATCCCAGTTCCCTTGATGCAATGTGAACTTTACCGTCTAGCATATTGATTCATATTGGATAAGGAATACTGATAAATCAGCTAGTCAGTATCCATTCCGACCCCGACTCCGACCCCGACTCCGGCTTGTTCTAGATTTTGATACACCATAGTATGGCATACACATAAAGCCCTTTACTCAAGAATGATCAGTTAGTTCTAGATCATTTGGCCATTTTAAGTACAGCATGTTCCTACCATGGGAAAACTGCTGGAATGTTTTTTTCTCTCTAATTTTTGGTGGCAGTTGGACGACGCACATCATCTGGGCTTGGTATACCCCTGCACTTTGCACTTCCAACCCGTTGCACAATTGTCATCGTGAAAGTACAGTTTTTAGAGTCTTATAATCACATTCATGCACAAGAATTTACATCCTGGGAATACATGAGACTAGCCGCTATTGTGTAAAGATACGTATCAATAAAATGTTACTCTACTCATAAATGCGCTTAATGACTTCTGCCAACACTGAATTAGCGAGATATTTCAGGGAGTACAGTGCAGAACGTACGCGCACACGACCCAAAACGACGAAATAAAAAAACGTCGAAAATCCAGTGAGTGATGAATCAACAATCGCATTTTACAAGCATTATGATGGTAGGCACGTTCTCTGATACTCGCTCATGTGCCGCCAGCACGAAGTACAATTTGTGTGTAATCTCGCCCAGTCAAGTGATTGCTCCATAGAACTTCGGCTTTTGCAGAGCTATGGGTTTAGCAAAACAAAAAGATTTTTTAGCGAGGTGAAAAAGGGGAAAAAATATAAATATGAACATGAAAATGAACTTAGATGAAGAGAGAAAAGTTTACAATTTGATTACTTGTGTAATAAACGTTGAAGCGTTATGCCCAGAAAATTCAGATAAAACCAATTCTGAAGGGGGGGGGGTCAAGTTGTTCAGAGCTTAACGCAAGCTGAAATACATACGGTATCAATACAAACGATTGGGAAATTACTATAATGCAGGAAATACAAAAAGTAACCCTTTTTGGATGTTAATTGCCAAGCAAGAATTAGGCAACATGTCTTAAACAGCTAAGTGTCAAATCTGTCTGCCTCTCCGCCCTGAGTATTGCTTTGCAACTGGCTAAAGTTAAAAGGGAAACTGCTCTATCGATAATAATAGAGTTTAGCTTTCATCTTAAACATATAAAAATACTCCTCAATACTACATAGATGCCACAACAGATCGGATCGCCGGCAACCATCATTATGCGGCCATAATAGCTTGAGTATATTAGCAGACGCTCTAGGTTTCTCGCGTCGCCAGGCGATGTGACCAAGCCGCGCGATTTTCGGAAATACCGCTTTATCCGCATGAAGCAACGGGGAAGCACACTGGCACGGGGAGTTAAGCGCTCATCCGGCTTGTCCACATTCGGAGGGGTCTCGGAAATAGAGCAGCCTTAAGGATCGCCTGTTCAACAATGGAGAAGGGAAAGCGCGCCAATATATAAGTATGGAGCGCCCAAAGAAGCCTAAAGTACAGTGAAGTTGATTTGGCGGAAAAACTCAAAGTCTATCAAATATGCCTAGTCAGAAGCTCCCGTTCCATATTGCTGTCGTTGGCGGTGGCATTGGCGGCCTTTGTGCAGCCCTTTCGATTCATCACCACTGCCCCAAAGATGGCAGTGTTATTATTGATGTATATGAGCAAGCACCAGAGTATAAGGAGATTGGAGCTGGCTTGGGTATAGGAGTCAATGCTGCCAAGCTTCTTCATCGCATTGGTGTAGGGAAAAACTTAAATGAGATCTCCGGCCATCGTAATGGCATTTGGATCTCGTTCCGTCGATATGACAACGGTAACGAGATTGTTACCGTGCCAGTGGACGACCGGCAGGATATAAGACAAAGCCCTGTTCACCGAGCTGAATTTTTGGAATTGCTATTTAATCATGTCAATGAGCGGAACGCAGCTACTCTGCACAATAATAAGCAGTGCATCGAGTTGAAGGTAAGATCAGCTCGGAGCTGAGAATGAGCCTTTTTATTATTAACGCATTTTCAGGACCAAGGAAGCTTTGTTGAGCTTCATTTCGCCGATGGAACGACGGCAACAGCAGATCTAGTTGTTGGATGTGATGGAATTCACTCCAATATTCGCTCTCAATTTCGCTCTGACAATCCCAAGTATAGCGGCCGTATGTGCTACCGAGGATTAGTACCAATCAAAGATCTCGAGACTTGGTGGCCTTTTAAGTCGTATTCCATTAGCTGGCTCGGTCCAGACAAGCACTTTCTAGCTTTCCCCATTAGCAAAAACAAAACCCTCAATATTGTTGCTTTTGTATATTCTGATGACGAACGCGCGCTGGAGAGCTGGACAGCAACGGGCCACCGAAGCGAGGTGCAGAAAGAGTTTGAGTCTTTCGACCCTACGGTCCGTAAAACCATTTCTTTCATGAACGAATTTCCGTCCAAATGGATTTTAAATGACCGCGAACTCTTGGATCAATGGGTCTTTGGAAGCGGCAAAATAGTGCTGATGGGAGATGCAGCGCACGCGGTGAGTAATTGGCACATAGAAGACATTATTTGGACTTTTCTAACGATTCAACGATTAAATAGATGCTTCCACATCAGGGTGAGAACACACAAAACGAAAGAATATGCTACAGATTTCATCTAACTCGCAGTAGGAGCCGGTGCTGGCCAGGCTATTGAAGATGGCTATGTCCTAGGATTGGCCATATCTGACTATCTTTCGGCATCTTCGGGGGGAAGCACGCAAACACTCAAACAGTGGATGCAAGTGTACCAAGATGTTCGTCTCCCCCGTGCTCAGAAAGCGCAGGCTACGGCTCGCCAAGCTGGGCAAGTATATGAAATGCAGACACCTGAAATGAAGGGCAAGACTTATGAGGACTGCCTCCCTCTTGTGCGAGACAGTTTAAAAGACCGCATGGGATGGATCTGGACCGGAGATATTGAGGCAGAGTATAAAGCAAATAAGCAGCGTTTAGTGGACTCACTAACAACAGGGACTGTGAAGGATGGCACGATAAATTCCATTAATGAACACGAAGCGCTAGTTAGCCAAGAATAACACTACTAATAGAAGATGCATGATGAGTGGAAAATTCACCAGCCAAGAAAAGTTCTATACGTGCTTCGACCAGCGCTGGCTTAGAGATATTATATTCTACAGCGATCATACATGGATCCCGTAGGCAAGGGAACAGGCAATGAATGCCTAAACGAGTCTTCTCCACAAATACACACAATTTCTTCAATTTTTTACACATGACGATGCCGATCTCTCAGCTTCCCCGCTGTGACGCCTGTTGCTTACTGCTATGGGGTCGAATAACTCTATTTGACGTTTGTGTGGCGAAAGCTCAGTAGGACCCAAAAGCCCAAGAGGTGTTCCCAGTACCGAGCAGTGCTTAGCATCAAACAATAGTAATCAAGCACCTAGACTATGTATGAAGCAGTTGCGGAACACAACTGCTGTTTCTCCCCGACGAAGCACTCGAGGCCCCAAACTAGTGCAAATTGGGTCAACGTCCATCGACATGGATGTAGCTTCGCCTTGCAGATTACAGATCAGAGCGTGCTGCGATCCTGCTACCCCGTAAAGCCCCAGAGATGAACCCCAGATCAGTTCCCTGCTAAGCTTGCCTGGGATTGGTGGCGTTGGGGGGTGGAGAATCCGGGTACGCGCCATATCTCCCAGCGCCGCCTAGCTTATTCGCGATCCGGGAACCGTTTCGTCTCCAATTCGATTTCATTCATACTCTCAGCCGGACCAGTCCAGCACTCGCAGAACAATGCACCACGATTCGCGGCTACCTGGATACCACAGGTCGATTTAGCGCATCGTTGTGCGACGGCGTCCCTATCCCGAGCCGCGACTTTTATGGCTGGACCGCGAACGACGTTGCTGGAATCCTGCAGAGCCCTTCTCTCTCTTGAGCCATTATCGACTGCGAAATGGCTAGCACGTCCCCCATGCCATCGACCGCACCGGCCGGTGCTGGCTCTGAGCGCAAAGATGGCCCCAGAAAGCGCCGGCGTGCGACAGTGGCATGCCGCAGCTGTCGGCAGCGCAAGACAAAATGTGACCATATTGTGCCTGCACAGGCGTCCGATGAGATGCTCCGCGGCATGACTAAGTCGGCGCAGGCGTAATGATTCAATGCCATGCTTCTTATTAGGCCGAAGCACTAACTTTTATCCAGATACATCCGATCTCTAGAACGTCGCGTACGCAACTTCGAGGACATACAGCGAGATAAGACCCAGCGACCGCAGCCGTCACATCCTCTGCCAGCCGTCCAGCACAATTCTCCTGTTCCATCAATTATGCAGTACGAGGCGACGAGGTTACCGCCAATGCCGCACCCTATCCAGTCAATAGGTTGGCCAGCGGGCCGCATCTACCATCAGCAACATCACCATGTTCTCCCAACAACCCCAGATATATTCCTCAGCGGCAAGGCTGGAGAATCTTTCACGCGGCTTATACTCAACGCCATGAATCACCCCTCTGCCAAGCTGGATGCTCGGTCCTTTTCCTCCCCTAGAGACTACTCTGTCGAATCGAAGAGCCCAACTGATCTCTTCTCGCTGCCTCCCAACGCCCAAGAATTGCTCAAAATATACTTCGACTTCCACCATGAACTCACTCCAATATTCCATGTTCCTTCCATCATGGCTCAGTTTGACCAAGTCTTCAACAATCGTCATGCGGGTCGAACGACTGATCATATTTACACACTGGCCATCCTCAACATGATATGTGCGCTGACTGCAGCACACAGTCGACGGGGACAAGAGGGCTCGGACGTCATATCTCGCAAGTATTACGACACTGCCATGCAACTTATGCAACCAAATCTCATGTCAGAATGGAGAATTGAAAAGGTTCAAGCCTTGCTTCTCGGCGCCCGCTTTCTGCAAAGCTCCAGCTATAGCGACGAGTGCTGGACAGTGCTCGGCCTTGCCATCCGTATAGCCTATGATCTAGAGTTGCATAGGCCCCCTGACCCTGAGAAGTTCGACTGCATAGACCAGGAAGTTCGCAAGCGGGTGTGGTACGCATGCTTTGGGCTGGATCAGCTTCTCAGCATGATTTACGGCCGCCCTGCTGCCACCTCAACGACTACGTTCTCAACCCCTCTACCGGAAGATCTAGACGATGACTGCATTCGGCCAACCCGATTATTATTCCCCTCAGTCCAAACTACATCGAGCATGTCATTTTTTCTACAGGTTTCGAAACTATATCGTCTTTTGGAAGCGACAATGATGCTAGGTGGCCAACCAACGTTATCGGACTTGGTCAGACTAGACGAGGAGTTTGAGGCTTGGCAGGCCCAAATGCCTGACAAGCTTCGCATCCGAGAAGGGGTACCGCCGGAAGAAGAATCCACTCTTATCCTGGCGCTTCGGGCCAACATGGTCTGCATATTGATCCATAGGCAGTCGCTGGTATCGGGTCTCAGTGCACTTTCATCGGCATCTTCTTCTTCGGCTCCAATAACCAAAGAATGGGAGGGAGGTCGCCTACGAACAAGCATACTACAGCGTAGTCGGCAAGTTTGTGTTAGCACGGCAGAGGAAACAATTCGACTGGTAGCTGAGCGGCATGACCGGACCAAAAAAGCAATGGGGCCCAGCTGGTTCAATTTATACTATTGTAAGTCGAGAGCTGTTGACCCTACTCCCAACTTGACAAGTTTCCGCTAACAGAATTGTCAAGTGTTTACTTCGATCCTCATAATCGTCTCCCATGTCGTTGATCCAGAGTTTCGAGATGACCGAAGCGCATTGATGCACCTGGACCAAGCGGTAAACATGATTCGCCAAATGTCTGGCAACCACCTCTGTGCACAACGGGCATATGCATTTTTACAGCAGCTGCTTGGTTTTCTAGACAGGACTATACCCGATGAACGACGGAGGACGGTTGAGCGGTACAATACTCCCCCGACTGTCATGCCGGGAAGTGACAGATGGGCTGGAGAGGCTACAACGTATAGCAACAGCACGACGCTACCAGAGGATGAGGCCACTGAAGACGGGGGCGTCGATTTGTGGTCACTGTGGGACACTACTCAGGATCTAACCATGGATCTAGGCTCTCAATTAGAGCTCCATTCAAATCTAGGCTCAGCCACCTGGTCGTGGGGTGTGGAGAACCCCGGAGCTGGTGCTGAGTCGTTGATGCGATCTCCACCAGTTCTTAACGGAGTAGTGCCTGGATAATCACTTCACAAATGTGAATAGAATAATTAATAACTGATGTAAATTTTAACGTAGCACATGAGACAGAGCCTTTCATGGTATTTACAACCAAAGCGCGGGTTTGGCAACATGAAGGATCATGATTCAGCGAGCTGTTTATATGGTGACAAGCGTCTAGATACTACACGGAATGAACTGGCTTCGAAGCTATGTAGCTAGGCAGTAGCGCATTATACGGATATACTAGCAGCTTCTTCAGGTGAACTCCTCCTAGGACGCAAAACACGGTTCATAGCCATGATCACAAACTGAAATCTAGTTGACTCTCCGCACAGCTGACAAAATGCCCTTCTTACCCCGCGTTTCGCTTGCCTGCCGCCATATAACATTGTACACAAACGTGCGGTTGCTCTTCCACAGGGCTTTTGTGGCGTCTGGCAGTGTGGGGGAGAATCCTAAACTCCCCCCGAAGGCGCGTCGTTCGTCGCTTATCGTGATCCCAGCATTCGTCTGGGGTCTTTGCAATCAGGCGGCATACGATAAATACCACGCGTAATAACCGCGCACGAAAAAACTCTTCCCGCACAAGACAATGGCTAAGCTTCGTCTAAATGATGAATAACCAAATCTCACGCCACTGTGATCTCCGCTATCTGTTTTAACGTATTACTACTACTACTGCTTTCTCTTGTTGTCCCAATATCAATGGCTGAGCCAATGGATAAGGCGGAGGTGTCCGCTAGTGAAGATCGTTCACAAAACAGCGGCAGTGCCAAGCATGAAAGGGAGCATGAGGAAGAAGCTCCTCGGACTTTAAAGCTAGACCCTCGCGGTCTTCCATTGTCGCCTCAACCCACAGATGATCCAAAAGACCCGCTCAACTGGAATCGCTGGTTGAAGCTAATGGTTCTGGCTGAGGTCTCTATTTTCTCTTTTCTGGCCTTATTTAGTGCCTCTTTGATTGTACGTGTATCCGGAGCCCCACAGATCGCGTGTTCTTAACATGATCTTGCTGTACTAATTGCGCCTTGACTCGTGGCTAGACGCCAGCTTTTGTTCCTCTGTCTTTGTTCCTCCACAAGGATCTTGTTACAACTGCGTACGTGACTAGTACTTTCATTCTCCTGGCTGGTATCTCAACTATCGTATGGAATCCGATCGCAAATGTCTATGGCCGCCGGCCAGTATACATCTTCACCGTGGCCGCCGCAGTGGCTTTTTGCGGTGCTTCCGGCGCGGCTAAGAACTACGGGACTCTCATCGCTCTACGTTGTCTCAATGGCTTCTTTGGCGGCGTGCCACTAGGCTTGGGCAGTGCTACCGTTTGTGACATGTTCTTTGCCCACGAACGAGGGCTGTACATGGGAGTATATACCATCAGCTTCTTGACTGGCGGCCACATCGCGCCACTCATCGGCGGCTACATCGAAAAGAATCTGAGCTGGCACTGGTGTTTCTATGTTCCAGCCATACTGACGGGAGGAATTCTTGTCATCTTTATATTTACTGTTCCTGAGACGCTCTACTCTCGAACACCAGAAGCCGTAGCTCGCCCCTCGCAGTCCTGGATGTCAAATATGCTTATGAAGAGAAGGGCACATCCTACACGGCGAGTGCGCCTGGTGGACTTTTTCCGACCCTTTCAGATGATTATGTATCCAAGTGTGCTGTTGCCAACGTGGTGCTATTCGATTTCTTTCGCCTATGGAAGCATCCTCTTCATTATAACTAGCGCGAATCTCTTCGGCAAAATCTATCACTTCCAGCCCCAACAAACAGGTCTCCTGCTGGGTATCCCTATCACAGTTGGCAGTCTCATCGGCGAGTTGTTTGCTGGAGGCATATCCGACTGGATCAGTGAGAAGAGAGCTATACGCCGCGGGGGCGAGCGTAGTCCCGAGGATCGTCTTTTAGGAATCATCCCAGCCGCGGTGCTAACGCCTCTTGGCATCATTATCGAAGGAGTTTGCCTTCAACATAAGACTCATTGGATCGGAGTGGCTTTTGGAATTGCCATTGCCAGCGCAGGATTGCAGGTTGTTACCACAGGAGTTTATACCTATACCGCAGAGGTAAGTACAGTGCACATCGCTTCTTAATCTCAACCACATGCTAATATTCTTCGTGTGCTATAGTGTTATAAGCCTCAATCTCCCGAGCTTGGTTCGTTAATTAACTTTGGGAGACAGGTGTATAGCTTCACAATTGGATTTTACTGTATCCCTTTCTCAGAGGAGGTGGGTATTCAGGACGCCTGGATCACCTTGGCCTTTATTACTTTTGCCTTTTACTTGCCTCTTATTCCTCTCTATTTCAAGGGTGCGGGGTGGCGGAAACGTCTTGGTAATCCTACATTTCACAAGGATCTATAAATGCGTGTGGCTGTTTTGATATCTTTATACTTAATGGATGGGCATGCTGTTAATGCTTGAAAGCCATTTCTATTTCTATCACAAGATGTGATAGAGCTATATACGTAATGATGTTATATGATAATATCTGCATCGATTGCATTGAAATCTATATCTTTTTAATAAAATGCTCATTCATTTCTCACAAATTGTACAAGTGTGGATCATCTTCATCAATTGGTTGCAATTTGAGCGTCTTGCAGCTGCCATTAATTATAAGGCACTGCCTTAATTTCCCGCTTATTCCATGACTTATTGTATAAGCCATAACAAACCTCGCCTTCATTTGCCGCCAGCCCTCCCACTCTGCACTCTTGTGGTGTCATAGCCTTCAGATTGTGCGGCTCTTGAGTTAGCCTAGGAATAATTCTAAGAACATTATTGCGCCCCATATTGGTGTAGTCATGTTGATTGACGCTTGAAGCTACATGCTCATCCCACCACGCTGCATTGAACAAAGTTAGAAAGTGACATTGAGCGTACGGAGAAGAAAACGTACCACAAGCGTTGGGGATGCTTTCAAACGGATAGTCGATGGAAAACATGATTGACTGCACCCCAACTTCTCCCATGGCGCACATCAAGGCAGGCGTGGAGAAATGTCCAGAAGTGGTGATGAAGAGCTGTTCACCAAAATAATCACGTACAAGCTTATCCTTGCGCATAGGCATGTTGGGAAACCGGCTGCGGTCAAGCTTGTGGTCAATGCGATAAATATCGTATGGGCTGCTGTTGCGTTAGCTTTGGGCCGCCTACAAGGTCAAAAGAAGCCTCTTGACTCACATGTGTTCGCCCATATGTCCAAAAATCAATTTCACCTTGGGATATCGATCCAAGATACCATTTGTAACGATTCCCAGGATATGCATATTGAGCCGATCCGCATATCCTAGAGCAGAGAAGTCGAGCCAAGGGCGCCCATCCCACATCAGCTCGTGGATTAGCTTATTGGAGGGTCGTGGATGCATGTAGACCGGAGCTTCGAGATCATGTGCTGCCTGCCAGAATACATCGTATTCGGGCTGGTCGTAGTACAGCATGCCATCGCCATCTTCACCACAGCTCTGATAATCGTTGAGAAGTACACCAACAAAGCCCTTCTTCTCCGTCATGCAGCGGCGAAATTCTGCCGCGGCCTGCGCAGGGTCATGCATGCTCAGCGCGGCAAATGCTGCAAAGCGGTTAGGCGCTTTCATCACCTCGGCCTCCATACGATCATTCGCCAGCTTAGCCTGAGCCTCGGCTTTCGCTTTGTCGGCGATACCCTGGCAGCCAGGGGAATTGAATGAGAGAATCATAAAGTCGACGTTATTCTCATCCATCTGCTTCAAGCGCATATCGTGGATGTCGAGCAGCTCGTTTGTCAAACGAGAGCCGGTTCCAGCGGCAACAAATTTCCCTGGATCATTGTTCGCCAATTCTTCTTGAATAGTCCAGCATTCTTCGAGAGCGATCTTGCCAAACATGATGGATAAATGAGGGCACAAGCAAATATATTAACTTTTTTTCTTTGAATCTCTTTATTGAAGTCGAAAGCAGACTTTAAAAATTACTGAAGTCTTCTTATATATGTTAAACACTTACACGCGCAAAGAAAACAGTGCGATTCAGTGCAGCGCAGCGCTATATAGAGCTTCTGCTCCAGGAGCCATCCTGCCAGCTTCATACGTCGATGCGGGGAGTTAGAGCCCCTCCCGAAATGCGGTATCGATCCGCGGCGCGTTATGAATACTCGTGGTTAAGTGGGGTTTGTCGCGCCGCAGTGTGTGTGCCAGTCGGAATATTTTGGCTAAATTTATCTGAGCGCCGGTAGCAGTATTTTGTTGACTGATGAATATGAATGCAGTAGCAACCTTAGACTGCGATTCTTGCGGGGGTTGCTGCAATCAAACCCGGGTAGATATTACAGATACTTAGTTTAGCTACTCGATTTTTGAACAAAAATATTGCATCAGAATACGGTCAGTGTACTCAACCATATTCATCATTTAATATTTGTAACTTTTTACTTTATGTCTAGCATTATCTTATAAAATTTCATGTACAGCATGGAAAGTGTAATCAGCTTGCAGCTCAATCTCTTATAACAATAACGCTAGTACATACCGTAGAACAAGTATAGACTGAACGATAAATTACGATGAAAGGAGCGACCGGTAAGAGCCTTCTATGGGATACAGGAATAGTATAAGACTTTACTTTTGCATTCATTAGATATTCTAGATAGTCAGTTGTTAACAATAGACTAGTGCTAGATTTAAGTTATATCCTATCTCTATCTACTATAGCTTTGTCAGTTACCCTATTCTATCTGCCAATATAGATTTACAGATCCACCCGTTCAGAATCTATATACTTTATAACAAGAATATGGCAATGTGGGAATAATATATTACAAAAACAAAATTTACTATATAGTACAATCAATTCTCAAGGGACAAACCTAGGTTAAAATTTGGGTTTATGTATGCAAACAATCTGATAATGGCTAACTACAATTCATATAGCTGTTACGACCTGGTCCTCCGTAACTACGAATCCTTTATAGGCAGCTGGTTCCGTTACAGTAACTGCTACAATAGTGGTTATTGGCCTAATCTTTTGCCCTGTTGGCTTAACGGTATAACGGATCGTTACAATAGCGTAATTAAGTATAAGTGAACAAGCAATACTTTCAAGCGTCAGTAAACTTTTCTGTCTTTATTTGAGTAGCAGGTGTTGGGAGGCCTATTCTAGACCCGAGAAGTGAATAAGCTACTGCAGGGAGAAAATTAGAGACATTAAGTCAGTCGCTATATAGACGGAGAGGAAAGTGGCGTGATGAGCCGATGTCTTAGTAATTGTCTGAGAAAAAGATTCCAAGCTTTCATATTTCGCATTTTGTGTAAGAGAGCTGCGGAATGCAATGTAGCTTGGTATAGAGGTTAGTTATTCTCTTATAGGAATACCTGCATCTACAACATTCTTTGTACCGGGATGTAACGCCCAGGAACAACAATTCTGGAGCCAGTGATTGATAAATCATCTGGGTAGATAAAGATGCTTTCACCCTCATGTGGAGAGCAGTATAATAGCATAAGTATTAATTAGCAAAAAGTAGTATTGGCTGCATACTAATATATGTCTGAATCTATTTATACCTTATTGATAATAGATAATATATTAAAGGAAACTCTTATCTTTATATACAATAACTTATAATAAACTAAATTGTCATTTTTGCACTTTCCCATAAATCAAATTGCCCCAAACATAGAGACCAATGGGTCAGGACCAAATTGCCCACCACAATAAGCTCTATAAGAAGATCCAGAGAATTGGCAGGGAGTGTTACATAAAAACGGCACTCCCACATGCAAATAATCATAAGAATTAAGTGCATTACCGCATGTGCAGACTGAGTCTCCATTAGAGTTTGTGCTCAGCGTAAAGTAAAGTGTGTTGCCAGTAGACTGACTGGCACAAAAGTTTGAGCAGTCATCTACTGATGTTGTAAGAACCATTTGTGCAACAACTGTCTGAAACCCAAAATTGCCGTCTGGGTTTGCTACATAGCAACCTAGATAGCCATAACGGATTGTATAACCAGCAGATATCCCATTGATTCCCGGAATACCTTGTGGGCCCTGTGGACCTTGAGGACCTGTTGCACCTGTGTCTCCTGTTGCGCCTGTATCTCCTTTTGGACCTGGAAGACCTTGAAGACCTTGGGGACCTGTTGCACCTGTTGCACCTGTTGCGCCTGCATCTCCCTTAGGACCGGGAAGACCCTGAGGACCTGTTGCGCCTGTATTACCCGTTGCGCCTGTTGCACCTGTATCACCCTTTGGACCTGGAAGGCCTTGAAGACCCTGAGGACCCGTTGCACCTGTTGCGCCTGTGTCTCCCTTAGGACCTGAAAGTCCTTGAGGGCCTGTTGCCCCTGTTGCCCCTGTTGCCCCTGTATCTCCCTTAGGACC